ATATAGTGTGTGTGTGTTTTGTTTTTTCTAATTCAGAAATGGATATTTATGCCTATCAATTATGTTTGATTATTCAGTCATTCTTTACTTATGTATCAGTTGTAGGAGTATAGGTTGTCAAGTTCAATATATTTTAAGTGCATGTCTGCAGATATTTTAAGTCATCTGTAATAAGATTATTCTGTCTTAAGATGTATCAACATCTCATATGCTAACGCCTGTTTTTGTGATCTACTGCTGTAACCTTCCTTGCTGTTATCTAGAACCATGTACTACCAGCATGTTTTCAGTTGATATAGACTTTTTGCAGTGGCTCATATTTATTTATTTAATAAGCGGAGTCCTTTGGAGATTATAGTTCTGTATGTTGAATAATTATCTGTATAATTACATATCTGACCTACAGAACAGATGTCTTCTGCTTTAGAGAACTTGGTTTTTTTTTTTTTTTTTCATTTCTCGCCTGTCCGCGTTTAATATTAACATAAAACTACTGTCGTCAGACGGAGTTATAAGTTGTAACTGTCTCGCTGTAGTCAATCTTTTTGCGTCGCCTTTAAAACGGGTGGTTGGAAAGTTGCTGTGCTAGGTTGTGATGTCTGCGCCTTTCCGCTCAACACGTCCGATTTTAACCAAACTTTAATTGAAAACAATGTTTCCCCGTTGTCAATTTCAGTAATGTGAACAAAAACAATACAGTGCACAGTTTATTGCCTGGCACAATTTCCTGAATCTCGTCAGGTGCAATATTTCAGAGTCTAATCAACATTAAGTGAAGCACAAAAATGAATCCTTTTTGCTGAAATACATAAATCATATTGTCTAGTTGGGCTGTAAATCTCTCCACCTCAAATCTCAAACCGGGGACTTGTTATTAGTGGGGACTTGTTATTGGTGGGGACTTGTTATTAGTAGGGACTTTTTATTAGTGGGGACTTGTTATTAGTGGGGACTTAGGAATCGTTGTTAGTGGGGACTTGTTATTAGTGGGGACTTAGAACTCGTTGTTAGTGGGGACTTGTTATTAGTGGGGACTAGGGACTTGTTATTAGTGGGGACTTAGAACTCGTTGTTAGTGGGGACTTGTTATGAGTGGGGACTAGGGACTTGTTATTAGTGGGCACTGGTTATTTGTGGGGACTTGGGACTTGTTATTAGTGGGGACGTGGGACTTGTTATTAGTGGGGACTTGTTATTAGTGGGGACTTGTTATTATTGGGGACTTGTTATTAGTGGGGACTTGTTATTAGTGGGGACTTGTTATTAGTGGGGACTTGTTATTATTGGGGACTTGTTATTATTGGGGACTTGTTATTAGTGGGGACTTGTTATTAGTGGGGACTTGAGACTTGTTATTATTGGGGACTTGTTATTATTGGGGACTTGTTATTAGTGGGGACTTGAGACTTGTTATTATTGGGGACTTGTTATTATTGGGGACTTGTTATTAGTGGGGACTTGTTATTAGTGGGAACTTGTTATTAGTGGGGACTTGTTATTAGTGGGGACTTAGGAATCGTTGTTAGTGGGGACTTGTTATTAGTGGGGACTTGTTATTAGTGGGGACTTGTTATTAGTTGGGACTTGTTATTAGTGGAGACTTGTTATTAGCTGGGACTTGTTATTAGTGTGGACTTGTTATTAGTTGGGACTTGTTATTAGTGGGGACTTGGGACTTGTTATTATTGGGAACTTGATATTAGTAGGGACTCAGGACTTGTTATTATTGGGGACTTGTTATTATTGGGGACTTGTTATTAGTGGGGACTTGTTATTATTGGGGACTTGTTATTAAAACTTCAAATTGCCCACATTTTGGAGGTATCCATGTGAACAACTAAAGCAAAGGATTTTTTTTTTAAGTTGTGAAATTGATGCATTGCACACTGCCATAATGTTTGTTGATTGGCTCATAAAAAGTAACTGATTTTGTTGTTGTGTGTGGGTCAATTACTGTGTATACATTATATATACCTTTTTTTTATTGTTTAGGGGAACATGAATTATTAGTCTGACAAAGATCAAAGAAATGTGCTGCTGTAAGAACACAGCAGCACTTGGCAATTGTAAATAATGAAATCATTAGTAAATGGAGTTTTCTAAGTATTTGTTAACAGTTGAAAGGCAAGACATTTTGAACAGTCTGTAACTGTTGGAGACTGGTATTTTGGAGCTGACATTTAGGAAGTGCTGTCAGAGTCCGAAGAATTGAATAGGATAAAGCTACTTTTTATAGGTGACTGGTGTATTATTAGAATTGGAAGCTAGGACAGCAGTTGACAGTGCTGTCAGAGACATAAGAAAGGAATAGAATAAAAATAACATAAATAACCCTTGACCCGTTAGGGTCGTGGAGGTGTATTGATGGAAGCACTAGCACGTAAAACCGGCAATCTTTCTCTGTCTTCTGCTTGATGAATAAGTTTGTGATAATTCAGTCCTGTCCATTTCTTGATGTTGTTGGAATAAAAATACTAACTGTCAGAGACTGGAGAATTTGATGTAACAGCTAAGACAGTGACTGAAAGTGCTAACTGTCAAAGACTAAATAAATGCATCATTAAAGATGGGAAGTGTTTGTTTTATAGGAAATAACTAAATTACTTATGATATATTCTTTGGCACAGAATGAGCAGAGAAGTAGAGAACCTTAACATTCTTAAATTCTGCTACTGGAGATTATAGTGTTAATTGTCTCCTCCTCCTCCCCCTCTAGAGGTTGCATCATCATTATCATCAACATCATTCCAAACCCTTGATGATTATTGCTACCGATATCACCTTCCTGCATTCATCTCCTTCTCTTTCCAGTTGGTGATTCCAGGTGTTTGTAAGTGATATTGATCTGTTTCATATTTCTTTATCTCTCTGTCTAGAATTCTATCTTGTTGCCGCAGAAATGATGAGTCCTCGTTCTCCACTTTTGAATTTTTTATGCTGTTTTAAACTAAAAACGATTAAAGTTTATACGATTACTTTTCTTTATTGCAGTGGATTGTCATCTGCTAAAGTCCAGGGACATGATTTATAGTGTTATTTAATGTCTTATTAATTACATTACCAAGTAGGAATAAATAAAAGGTGACAAAAGAATTAAAACCATGTTGACCTGGGCAACTCACAGGCACCTATAGTGTTATTAATGTGTTATTTATCACACATGAACAGATGTTTATTATAAAAAATTGGCAGAAGTGGTAGCAGGTAGGTGGGGTAATCTCATGTTATGTAAACAAAAGGATCATGTGGTTAATCAAAGGCTGACATGGTCAGTTTTAACAAGGCTAGACACTCGACTTTCAACTTAGATGTAAGTGGGTTTGAATCTGCAAAAGGGTCAGAAATGACCTCATAACCTATTGAGTGCCAATTGCTCTGTATAGATGGGCCTAGCACCATATGCCTGATTAACCATAATTAATGATGATTGCACCAGCCGTGCCTTAAGTCCTCAGGTTCACCCCCCACCCCCTTTTTTTTTAACACAAACCACCTAAAGTAGTAAAAACAGACTGCCTCTCTGGTTCTCTTTGAGTTCCCTGAGGCCCCATGAGCTCCTTGGCTCCCTGTGAGTCCTTCAAGTTGCCTGTGAGTTCCCCAAGTCAGAGTGGCTTTAATCCTTTTGTAGCCTTTTATTTATTCTTACTTGTTAATGTGAATTTATTATTGCTTGGTATATTATTGCATTGAATAGCCAATATAGTTTTTAAAAAAATAATAGATACATGCCTTTTAATCAGTGATTCCCAAACTGCGCGCGGCAGTGCCTTGGAGAGCCACGACCTCTTTACAGGTGCACCGCGAACTATTCGGAGATTCTCAAATTTTTTTCTTTAATCTCTTGATTACTTTTACTTAGGTTAGGGCGCCGTGGAAAAGTTTTTTTTGTTGAAAAAAGGTGTAGCGACTATGAAAAGTTCGGGAAAATTCTTTAAATAATTGATGTGGTGGCCTCAGACCATTTGATTATGCAATATTCTCCACTACAACTTGTCTGTGTTGCGCTCCAGTATTTGAAATAGATTTGAGTTGATGACTCTTGTGTACTATCTTTGATTAGTATGTGTACATTTGTCTTACATACTGCCCAGAAACTTTAATGCATCATGTCTTGTTTATACAGTTGTAATTAGATGCAGGTGCCAGTTAACCTACTTTAGTCTAACAGAACAACAGTTTGGAAATAGAGCAGCACACACACACACCTCTGAGTGGAGATTCTGCCAGTAAATCCATATCTTTAAGAGGAAAGAGCCTAATTCTTCCATAGGACATCATATTTTATAATGGTTATGCCTTCTGAGTTATTGTCACACATTGAGCAGGTGTTATTATTAAAATATGGCAAGATCAGTAGAGTTAGGATTGGTAATGCAATGTTATGTAAACCAAAGGATCATATGATCAATCTTAGACTTGCATTAACTTTTTTTTTTCTTTAAAGTTTTGTCATCTTAATGGTAGTTTTGAACACATAACCCGCATTCATACCCTCATTCATCTCTGTGATTGGTCTTCTTTTTCTAGTTGGTGACTCTGAGTGTTTGTAGGTCTGACTGTGTATTATCTCTCTCCCATTATCTTGGTCTGCTCCCATTCAACAGTATAGTATATCCAGATTTTGTCTTTCTGTTATCTGCCATTTTCTCTATATGCTCCAATCATTGCAGTTCTTGGAATTACTTCTCAAAATATTTTAATAATCTGCTGAAAATATTTTAATGATTGTCCTTAAAGAAAAAAGGAAGTTGAAGACAGAAGATAGAAGTGTTACAGATTTTTTATGCCTCATCTACAGGTGCCTGTACATCCACAGTGCTGCTTGCTGGACGCAGCTAAAGACAGCCACACTATCATCTCTCTGCATCGGGAATAATGAAGCAGTTTTGTTCCTGAGTTTCGTAAAATATAAGGACTTGTAATAGTAGTTGCTAGCCAGTGAACTTTGGGCGGCCTCAGAGAGACAAGCAAACAGACAGTTCTTGTGATCACTTTCCATGATGGCTACCACCAAAGTGACCTTTGTAACAGGCACTGCAGAAGTCAAGAGAAGAGGTAAGTCTGCTCTACAGAGAGTATTCTGGCTTCTTAATGTTTTAGTTACCAAACAGTGGATCCTGCAGTGATTTGTAACTAATAGGTACTGTTCAGGTAAAGGCTTTGATTGTCCATTTTAGTGATTGTGAAATAGTCCTTGACTCACATCCATATGTTGCCACAGGCAAAATGTTCTCATTGTGTTCACTTTGAGCTGTTTGCTGCTGTTGCAGCATAGACTGTTCACACTATTTAAGCTCTGCATTGCTGAAGCACCATGTAACATCTGTGACTGAAGATTGTAAAACAAATAATACGAGAATCAACGCTGAAAAGAACAAAGTAATTTAAATAGGACAAAAGAAGCAGAACCTAAATGAAGCAGTAGAGTGTAAAGGCATTAAATGGCATCTGAGTTACATATCTTGGAACAGCATTCACTGAAGATGGGATGTTGGATGACATAATTGACATCATGGTGCAGTAAAGCAAAACAAGTATCCAGACAGCTCGCCCCCACTTCCCTTTTAAATTATGACAATCCCAATCAATACAGAGAATCATCTCATACTAGTTCATCTCTCATACATCATTCCCACTAGTGCTAGATATGGTCACTCACAACAAAGTAGAAAATAAAATAATTAGTAACCATCGAACTGAAAAGTCTGAGATTACAGATTTAAGAATCAACATCAGAGCACACCATGCATACCTATAGATGCTCCTTCTCCCGCGGCAGATATTTTAAGGTGTAGATACTAACTGTTCCCGTAACACACTGATTATACCCAAGTCATTTTCTTCTTCTTTTATGCTTGCCCTTGCCAGATGCACACCTAATTATCCATTGACACATTCTTACACATGTTATTTCATCTAAACTTGTATCTTCTTTCAACATTTGTTCATATATGGTCTTCAGATTGTCTCTTTTGCCCAGTACATGTGTTCCTTTAGCTATTGCTGTTGTAGCCCTAAAATCTGCTCTTTCATTCCCTCGTACTCCTACATTTCCCTGATAGTATATCCACATGATTGTCTGCAATGTTAGCGTGCTAATGCTTGGTATCCACTCATGCCACATTTGTCCATTTTGAACCTTCTGCAGTGCCGACTGAGAATCAGACAATAATTCCTCTGGTAACTTTATTTTCTGCTATCTACATCAGAACTGCAGTGATTGCCTTCACCTCCACCTTCTTGTTTGAAGTTATAGATACAAAGCTCCATTTTGTTCTGCCACAATAATTCCCTTCATTCTAGCTGAAAATCATCCACCAGATCTTATACCCCGATGAACAGAGCCAGCAGTGTACACTATTGCATCATCTTGTCGTCTATCAGTTGTTGTACATTTAATTCTGCCATACCACAACACCACTGTCTGCATTCTCTTCCTAATGTGATAATGACCTGATGGCAACTGCTGTTGCAGGTGTTCATCAACCTATTCCTGCTCCCTGTGTAATGGCTCAACTGAGGCTGCTGTTCCGATATCTTCAGCTAGTGCCATCCATGACTTTCTTTCCTCTTTTCAACTGATCTCCTCTCAAGTCTTTCAAACTGCCATGCAGCAGATGCCTTTCATTGCTGGCAACTCGCATATAGGCCTTGGCTTGCACCAATGACAATCTACACTTTACCGATGTCAGCCCAAGCATGAGATATTTGAGAAAGCTGACCAGAACTGATAAATTCAGGAATGAGGTCATAAGAGGAAAAGTCAACACAGAACTAATTCTAACATAAATAGACTGCAAATCAAATGGTTTGCCTACGTAGAGAGAAGGTCTTATGACGCCATACCATACAAAGAATACACCAAAAGAAGAAAAGGATGTAGAGCACAAGGTAGATCAAGAACAAGATGGAAAGATAACATTAGAGAAACTCTACAGCAGGATGATTTGTCTGTGTTCGAGGCAGAAGATCAAGAAACAGAACTTTGCCCTTAAAGAGGAAGTGAAGAAGAAGAAGAAGATTGCTGAAGCAAGTCTCTTTTTAGTTTCCGATGAACAGTCAGATCAGAGTCATACACCCTGGATATTTTTTTGGGCTGAAATGGAAACCCATGCTAATGGTTGCATTCCTTCAGACATAAACACAGTATAGTCTGATGAATATTGTGTAGCCAGGCCTGAGTGTTATCCTGGCTTAGGGTTATTGTATGAGATAAAGAAGTTTTGTATTACATCCTTTGTTTGTTCCGTTTATGAGTGGGCATGAAATGTTTATGTAATGTGATACCACAAGTGTTCTCTAAGACAATTTAAAGACATATTATTTACATGTTTTTATGTTTTAAAATGCTTTGTCAAATGCACAAAACCTAGCTTTTCAACATGCAGTTCTTTTTCTTCTGCATTTACTCTTAGAAGAGCAGTTGGTATATTGTGTAGCCGTTTACAGCATGGCTGCACTATCTGTGCTTTTAGTCACCTTTTTTTTTTCACCATTCCCCCAAACTGGGACCCAGAACCCCTATGAAGAAAACATTCAGTAAAGAACTATTTTTCACATGTTAGATATTTAGTCCTTGTCCCACATTTTTATTTGCCAGCTGGCGCTCAGTAGGTGATGTGGTCACCATCACACTGGCTACTTTCATTTTCTAGAACTTTTCCAGCTACCAATTTTAAGTCAAATAACCTGGGGCACTGGTTTGATTTGCACCTTTCCCTCTTTCCAGATAATCTTATATTAGGTTGTAGTGAATAAAGATGGAGAATCACCTCCTGTGGTGATGGTGATTGTGACTAGCAAGACATACTCACATTAACCCTACCAGACCTGAGGCCCTGAACCTAACTGCCCAATATACATGAGCTCCTGGCCATTAACGAAAAAAAAAAACATGATATACAAAAATATTAGTTACATGCAAACAAGTGGTTTTAATAAGATGAAACTTGGAGACATCGTAGAAAACATTCCACCTTTGTTTGCCAATCCACCCATCAGGATCAGCCTTGTTTAACAAAGTGGGCACCAGATGTTGCTGTTTGAGGGACATGTCTCTTTCTCTTACTATTGATCTATTTCTAGAGTTCTAATTTTCACTGAGTGTGTCACTTTAACTAAGAACGGATTCTTCATGAAATTCTGACTTCTCAGAGTCTGAATCAACCAAAGCATCTTGAAAAGCATCCTCTGTTACTTTGAAGAGGTATGTTGTCTGGTCTTCCGTAGAGAAGTTTCTAAAGCCCACCTGCTGTGGTGTAATGATGTTTTCACTTTCAATGTACCACTGTAGTCTGAGGTTGGTGATGCGCTCCATTGTTTTACAGAGACAACTTGTGAGGCTGATCGGTCTGTAGTTGGAGGCATTAGAACTGTCTTTCCCAGGCTTTATGAGGGGTATCATCATTGCCTCTCTCCAGATCTGTGGAACATTTCCTGTTGCCTAGCAAGCATTAAATATCTAAAAGCTGGTACTTGCGGCATGGATAGATCTAAGGAAAGCTTTTGACAAGGTTTGGTAGGATGGGTTTTGAAGAAATTGAGAAACTATAAAGTAAATGGAAGAATGTACAATTGGATTAAAGCATATCTACATAACAGAAGAACCTGGGTACACTTTTCCTCTTATTCATCAACAACCTGGTTGCTGAGATACCAAATGGATTCAAAATGGCAATGTATGCCGGCAACCTGGTACTGTGGTGCACCAATGAACATGCAACGATAGCCACAAGAACACTACAGCGGGCTACATATGCACTTGAGACATGGCTGAATAGATGGTGTGCCAGCATTAACACAGACAAATGTATCACCATACTCTTCACCCTCTCCCCAAAGTAAAAAGCGGGCATCATCAAAATAAATGGAATACCCCTAAGAGATGATGAAGAGCCCACATTTGATGACAGGTTGACATGGAGAAAACATATCAACAAGGCAGCAACCAAAGCCAGGAGGAAGACAGCAATACTAAGAAAACTAAGTGGAACCACATGGGGAGCCAGTGGAAAATACTCAATAAAGTATACAAGCAGAGCCTACAACCACACTTGGAATATGGGTCAACTGCATGGTGTTCAGCATCTAGTACCACATTAAAGGAGTTGGAGAAAGTGCAAAATCAAGCGCTCAGAGTCATCACAGGAGGGATGAAATCAACCCCCGTATTAGAAATGGAGAAAGCTGGGAAAACACAGGTACTGAGAAAACGCAGAGATACAAAGTTGCAAATACAAGCTGAAAAGTTCCATAGTATGCGAGATCACCCCATGAAAAAATAGATTTCAGAACCTAGCCTTGGGACTGTTAAAAAAGAAGCAGCTTAATACACCAAGCAAAAAAAATATGTAGATAAACTACTGACCTTCCAGAAATTGGTTGTCCACTTAAAAGTATTCCAGAACAAACCCCATGGAGAGAAAAATACAAATTGTTGTGAAAGGAAGATTTGACCAGAAAGAGCAAGACAGTATACAACGCAGAATGGCCACCCTCAGTTATATTGATGAAGAATACCCACAAGAACAATGGGTCCAAGTCTATATAGATGGGTCTGCACAAAGTTCAGTTAGAAATGGTGGTGCTGGAGTGTACATAGAATTCCCAGATGGTACTAGGGATAAGCCCAGTGTACCAACCTGGAAGTACTGTCGTAACTATGATGCAGAAACTCAGGCTATCAAGATAGCAACAGAGAAACTGCTAAATACCAATCTTGGCTCACAGTATGTGGTAATGCTGACAGATGCAAAATTCGTACTTGAAGCACTCCAGTCTAAGAAACTACCAGAATTGAAAACACTGCTGATACAACTCAGCATTCAGCAAAGAGTCGTAGTGCAGTGGATACCGTCTCATTGTGGAGTGCCTGGAAATGAGAAAGCTGATCAACTGGCAGGGGAAGGTGCGACAAAAGAGCAGCCGGATCTACCAGTCACATACCACCAAAAGAAAAGGATCATTAAATCGATCAGGAAATCACCAGCCCCAGCACAAGTCGACTATTTTATTATGGACAGATCAGAACAAGTCATTATCCTCTGCCTCAGAACAGGGCACAACCGATTACTTAACCCCATGTTCACAAAATTCAAGATGGGCGTATCAGCCATGTGCACCTGTTAAAAGGTGCCCCAGACAGCAAAGTATGTACTCCAGGACTGCACCGAATTTGACATTTTAAGGTAAACCTTTTGGCCAGAAATAACAACAACGGAACGTAAACTCTATGGACCACTAAATGAACTAACAACGACGTTTAAATTTATACAAGAGACCAAATTGCTGATATAGACAACTTATTTCAGGCGAACAAAAGAAGTATTGATCACCTGTTGGACTGTGAAAAGCCTAGACCTACTTCACTTTCCTGTCGAAATCCTTAGCTCATCAGCCACTGGTTTTATTGTGAATTTTTATAATTACTCACATTAAACCACGCAGAGTAAATCCACGAGGGCAGCCATTTGCCATGACTAACCACAAGGTTTGATCATGATTAGTTGGTTATTTTTAGTTTGTGACGCGTTTTGTCACGTAGTATGCAAATTCCTGAAAAATAGGGACAGCGGTATAGCAGCAGGTTAGAAAATTCCCAAAACATCGGGACCGTGGTGTGGTAAAGTTAAGAAAAGTATTCAATAGTAAGAGCAAGTGACTTCATAGGACAGCAGAAATGTGGTTTTGGAAGAAATTGAAAAAAATGCCATGGGTGGACAAGATGTCAAGGACAAAACCACACATAAAATCAACTCAGTAATGGCGAATAAATGTAAGAAGATGAAGAAATATCAAGTTGTTACTTTCAGTTAATCACACTTTTAGAAGTCAAATGATGCTTTAAATCAAAATAATGAAGAGTGGGTAATTATATGTAATTTTATTTTAAGGTCGTCCACCCGACCAAAAATTTTTTTTACAATACCTCAGATCTGGACATGGTTTCTTTGAATACTATACTTCAAATTGTTGCATCACTTCCCTTATGGCTTTGAGGGTCTCACCTTTGGGAGGAAATGAATAGATCCACTGCTCCTTAACCCTACCAGACCTGGGACCCTGAACCTGTCCCTGTAATCTGAGCTCCTGGGCACTAACACGAAAAAACAACATAATGTACAAAAAAATTAGTTACATGCAAACAAGTGTTTAGAATAAGATAAAACTTGGAGACATTGTATAAAATAGGTTTACCTTTCATCTAGTGCCAACTTCCACCTTTGTGTGCCAGTCCACCTAGTAGGGTCAGCCTTGTTTTACAAAGTAAGCACCAGATGTTGCTATTTGAGAAACACGCCCTTACTATCGATCTAGTTTTAAATCTATAAATTTCATAGTTCTCCTCCTCACTCTAGCTCTCACTGACTGTGTCACTTCAACTGGGAACGTATTCTTCATGAACGTATTCACAGTCTGAATTAACCATAGTATCGATCACCTGTTGGACTGTGAAAAGCCTAGACCTACGTCACTTTCTTGTCGAAGCCGCTCGTTTCATTGAGAATTTTCCGAATTTTTTTCACATCAAACCACACAAAGAAATCTCAACACACGTCGGAAGTCATTGGCAATGACTAACCACAAAGTCTGATGGTGATTGGCTGGTTATTTTTAGTCTGTGACACATATTTTTCACATACTACGTAAATTCTCGGAAAAGTGGGCCAGCGGTATTGCGGCAGGTTAGGAAATTCCCGGAAAATCGGGCCAGCGGTCTGGTAGGGTTAACAAGCATGTCATAAAAATACAACTGATTAAAGATTTGCTGAAATCATATGATTTGGACCAAACGGTACAGATATAACAGCCTAGTTGTAGACCACAACTCAGTGTGCCAATGCCCTTTCAAGGATGAATACAGAAGAAGTTGTGTCATGTAACAGTATTATAACATAGCATAAAATATGCTAAGTAAAGTCATCTACAGGATTTTCCACGGGATTTAAATTTATGAGTTAAAAATATATTGTAAAATGACTTTTCTTAAATTGGTTCATTTTGTTTAAAGTGTCTTTTTTAGATATCGCTGCCTGTACAGGACAGCCAGCTACACCAAGGCAATAATTGGTGCGGATTTGGAGTGACCCAGTATAACTGTTTTACAAGGTTGAATGCAAAGTCATAACACCAGAGATGAGATGACCTTAAAGAGCTAACGGAGCAAAAGGCATAAATAAAATAAAAATTAATAAATTAGTAGAAGACTATGACTGAAACCAGTTATGTAGTTTATTAAAGATGAACAGATAGATGGTTTAACCATCTGACAATAATGTCTTGGAATCAACTGCCACAGAGAGCTATGGTGACGAAATATAATAAACACAGAGCACATTGAAGACCACCCAGAAGGTGGAAAACGGCATCAAGAATTGTACAACTTATACAACCCATGGGAAAGAGTACAGCTAAGATCCTTACATTCCCCCGCCCCCCACCAACTTCAAGCACTTTAGTGAAGTAACTGCAGGAAGTGAAGGGGTATATGGGGTTTGTTCCTGTTGGATTGGCATCCAGAATATAACTCTTTGAGTAACTGGATGTTGAACATTCAGATGACAGTCCCCAAAGAGGAGTAAAAATAAAGTAAATGACCCTTTTCAATACCTTTAGACGTATAGGGCTAGACTTAAATTTTTTAGACCAATCGGCAAAAGATGGGTGATGTGGTCAGCATCACGTCAGCCGCCTTTACTTTCCAGGACTACACCCGGTTGTCACTCGAGGCTGGGTCGACCTGGGAGCCAAGGTCTTTTTTTTTTAAAGTGTGGCTCCACCAGGGAGCAAACCCACGACCTTCCAATCCACGGTGAGTGTCTAGCCGCTCCGCCATGGCAACTCCCCTAAAGGGGAGAACTGAAAGAAAAAACTGCTTTATTATTATGTAAGAGCCTTTGGCTGTGTTGCAGTTAGGGCATATATGTCTGCAGAATATTCCAGTTCATTTCTCAGTAGGGACAGAATTTGGCTCTGGGCTGTTCCCAGTATCATAAAATTGGTACCTGTGATTTCTTTGCTAAAGAAAGGTTGTGAGAAAGACAGCTGGTCAGCCAGTCTCCTATAAATTTTTTTTCATAATAAATAGTATTTTCATATTATCTTTAGTAATAATTACTTTTTGTACATTTAACCTTTCACAGATTATCGCATAACATTATATTTTCTGAGTGATTTTAAGTTTCTGTTGTGTTCTGTTTCTTGAAGTTCTTAGCTGATGAAGGCTAGTCACCAGCAGCATCCTGCATTTTGTTTATTATAATTGGTTCTGTAAAGCAAACATACACTTTATGTTTTTTTTTTTTTCAATTGTTGTCTTTAACAGATCCAGTCCAGGAATTTTCCCGTTTAGAACCTGTGCCTGAGCAGCGATTAACTACAGAACCACACACACCACTCCAGGTGACTTACATTGATGGAAAATGTACTTGCTGTCCCTATGGCTACCACATTGATCTGGACTTTCTCAACTTTTGCCGTGACCTACAACGGGGTTCCACTTTGAAAAATCTCAAAAGGATACAGCGAACTAAAAGAAAGCTGAGGAAATCTATGGAGGTGAGTATGGATATTTGAGGTAATTCCTGAATCAAGGAGAGTAGGTTATATTTCATGGAAACAAATGCATTCAAATACAGAGGTTATGGGAAAATGTGGCATGAAAAATAGAGTTTAGCAGACAAAAAGAAGACAAATGAAATATTTTGATCACATTAAAATACATAACAGCACTCTTATAACACCATACTGGAGAAAAGCATTAGATGAGTGACAGTAAAAATAAGAAAATAACATGATGAGATGGACAGACAGTGGTCTAAGAGAGTGTACAACTTTAGTGAGAGACAAAAAAGTGCTAGAGATCCACTGAGGCCAACATTAGTTGTGAAGACAACATAGATGGATTCAAATAACACTATTCAAACACAATAGACACATAGGTGGATATGACTAGTCTTCTTCTTCATCTTCTTCTTCTTTTTATTCTTCTTTTTCTTCTTCTTCTTTCCTCCTCCTCCTCCTCCTCTATTCCTTGTCTGCCTTTCTATTGTCAGGTTATGGCTAGCATCAGTTGTAATTTAACACGTTGTGCAATTTGACTAGATTCACCAGTTGTTTCTCCTGTAATTGTGACACATCTTTTGCCATCTGTAGATGATGCTTGATGAACAAGAAGGCATAGCACCAGGCTCAAAGTCTACCCCACCAGATGTGGTTCATTCCACCGAGGCTGGGCGACTGATGCATATGATTAATTATGAGCAGTCAGCCACCCAGAATCTTCTCAGTCGCATAGATGCCTCTGTCAGTAACATGGCTGGTGTGGAGGAGGGACCAGGGAGAAAATATGTATCTTCTGACAGTCTTGAGCCTAGAACTCCTACTTATAGGTAAAACAAATACCTTATGTTAGTACGTATATGTGTTTATTTATGTATTGTGTGTGCATGTGTTTAGTGTTGGCACTTTCCCTATTTCCAGGCGATACAATGATTGTGTGCTATGAGGAGGCATGCAAATAACAGCTCATGGTGATGGTAATTGTGACTATCACTAACTGCTCGTGTTAAGAAAAGTCTTCCACAGCACAAAGCTTGGACGGTATTGTAGCGATCATGTGTAGCCCATGCATCATAATTCCACTCTCAGTCTTCCTTGTTTACTCCAGAGGAAAAGTAACACCAGTACATTGTACAATGTTGCTGTGTTTGTCCACCTGTTACAGCTTCCCTTCTAGACCAGATACAAGTTTTTTCCCCTCAAGGATTGCAGTCTGTAGAATTTTTCATTCCAAGGATGAGAATCACACAGTTGCAAATTCCAGAAACCCTGCTCAGGCAGATAACACAATTAAATTGTGGCTTTGTACAGTTATACAAATAGGGGCTTTTGAACTGAATGCTATAGAAAGATTCTCAGAATATCGTGGACAAAGAAGAGGAGAAATACTGACATTTTAACAGATCTGAACATCAAGGAAGATTGGCTAATAAACAGCATCTTGTCTCGGAAGCTGAAATATTTTAGTCAAATCAAGCGCAATGGTCGATTAAAAAGGAGAAAAAAAAAATAGCAGAAGGCTTGGTACCAGGAAGGAGGGGCAGGGGCCAACCAAAACACAAAGATGGGCACAGGATATAAGTGACTTCTTGAATATGAAAGTACATGAAGTCGGAGAGATGGCGAGAGACCGAGTTTCTTTCAGGCAGACCATGATGAGAGCGAAGTTCTACCTGCTACACGATGATGATGATGGTGACTGTTATACAGTTACAAAGTTACCTGTAGACCAATATGCAGGGGTGATGTTGGAGATTATATACTTTTTCTCTCACTGGTCAGTGGAGTAGGTCCCCAACCAACTGATGCACACATTAAGGTGTGTGGATGCCAACTGTCCCTGTACTTTCTGCTTAGATACACCTCTGACCGTTCCAGCACTGAAAGTTTAGTACCAGTTTCTTTTATGTTTTACAGATATATAAAAATAAGGACACAGAAGGCACTTTCATATCACCAGGACATCTACGGAAGTGAACAGAAATTGATCCTAGACAAGTTTCAAATTTGAAGGTTTGAAGGGTTATCCATGGTTAGTTTGTAAAATGCACTCGTAGTCTCACCTCAGTTTACATAAACTTCTAAACCTAGAATCTTTGATTCTGATATCAAATCGATACTGCTTTACAGAGCTCAGACTTGGAGAATAACTAAAACAGTTATAATAAAGTACAAACATTCATAAAATTGTGCATAATCAGAAAGAGAGAGTTAAATAGAGTGACAGAACCGCTAATGGAGAGCTTAGCAGGAAATCCAAATAATGCAAAGAAAAACACCAAGTGATGGAATAATAGAGATAAAGCAGCCTCAGTTGCATGTAGTTTTATCTTCCCTGAAATTCAAAAAGGTAAGAACATTTTCTAGTCATATTTTGTCACTACTGTGTTTCTTATATGTCCTGTTTAGGAGTACATACCCACTTGATGAGTCTAACGTCATGACAACATCATATTCCACACTGGATCGTACAGATTCGTTTGGTTCCCTGTCATCTGTATCCACCCTGTCCAGTGAAAATGCATTACCCCATCCTGCAGAACTGAAACAACTTTACATCAAAACAAGGACAGAGGTATGTTTTGTTGGATCTGTATAATCACACTACATGCATATGTCACAGCCTAGCTGTAAATCACACTACTTATGTCACAGCCTAGCTGTAAATCACACTACATGCTTATGTCACAGCCTAGCTGTAAATCACACTGCTTATGTCACAGCCTAGCTGTAAATCACACTGCTTATGTCACAGCCTAGCTGTAAATCACACAATATGTCACAGCCTAGCTGTAAATCACACTACATGCTTATGTCACAGCCTAGCTGTAAATCACACTACATGCTTATGTCACAGCCTAGCTGTAAATCACACTGCTTATGTCACAGCCTAGCTGTAAATCACACTGCTTATGTCACAGCCTAGCTGTAAATCACACTGCTTATGTCACAGCCTAGCTGTAAATCACACTGCTTATGTCACAGCCTAGCTGTAAATCACACTACATGCTTATGTCACAGCCTAGCTGTAAATCACACTGCTTATGTCACAGCCTAGCTGTAAATCACACTGCTTATGTCACAGCCTAGCTGTAAATCACACTGCTTATGTCACAGCCTATCTGTAAATCACACTACATGCATATGTCACAGCCTAGCTGTAAATCACACTGCTTATGTCACAGCCTAGCTGTAAATCACACTACATGCTTATGTCACAGCCTAGCTGTAAATCACACTACATGCTTATGTCACAGCCTAGCTGTAAATCACACTACATGCATATGTCACAGCCTAGCTGTAAATCACACTACATGCATATGTCACAGCCTAGCTGTAAATCACACTGCTTATGTCACAGCCTAGCTGTAAATCACACTACATGCTTATGTCACAGCCTAGCTGTAAATCACACTACATGCTTATGTCACAGCCTAGCTGTAAATCACACTACATGCTTATGTCACAGCCTAGCTGTAAATCACACTACATGCATATGTCACAGCCTAGCTGTAAATCACACTACATGCATATGTCACAGCCTAGCTGTAAATCACACTGCTTATGTCACAGCCTAGCTGTAAATCACACTACATGCTTATGTCACAGCCTAGCTGTAAATCACACTGCTTATGTCACAGCCTAGCTGTAAATCACACTGCTTATGTCACAGCCTAGCTGTAAATCACACTACATGCTTATGTCACAGCCTAGCTGTAAATCACACTACTTGCATATGTCACAGCCTAGCTGTAAATCACACTACATGCATATGTCACAGCCTAGCTGTAAATCACACTGCTTATGTCACAGCCTAGCTGTAAATCACACTACATGCTTATGTCACAGCCTAGCTGTAAATCACACTGCTTATGTCACAGCCTAGCTGTTAATCACACTACATGCATATGTCACAGCCTAGCTGTAAATCACACTACATGCATATGTCACAGCCTAGCTGTAAATCACACTGCTTATGTCACAGCCTAGCTGTAAATCACACTACATGCTTATGTCACAGCCTAGCTGTAAATCACACTGCTTATGTCACAGCCTAGCTGTAAATCACACTACATGCTTATGTCACAGCCTAGCTGTAAATCACACTGCTTATGTCACAGCCTAGCTGTAAATCACACTACATGCTTATGTCACAGCCTAGCTGTAAATCACACTGCTTATGTCACAGCCTAGCTGTAAATCACACTGCTTATGTCACAGCCTAGCTGTAAATCACACTGCTTATGTCACAGCCTAGCTGTAAATCACACAATATGTCACAGCCTATCTGTAAATCACACAAAATGCATATGTCACAGCCTATCTGTAAATCACACTACAGTGTGAAAACTGCAATTTAAAGGTTGAACACAGAAGAAGAGGATGATATAATGTATGTTGGAGATCAAACTTTGGGGAAAAGAATGATTGCCCACATCAGTTGGTAAGATACAACATAAGGATAACGATTTACACTTATGCAGTATCTTCTTCTTCTTCTTTGCAATCACCAGCTGTAAACTCTGGTGGAAAGTTCTGGTTGTTCGACCACTTCTGGACTGCAGTCCTGTTCCAGAACCTGAGTGTTACGTGTGCATCCGTTTGACAGATATGACACATTTGTGTGCAGACTGTTGGTTCCTTACCTCTCAGGCAGATACACTCCAACTTTGAAGGAAGCCCACAATTAGTCGACTCTTACAACATGCTTTTGGGTAGGCCATAGGTCTGTTCTTGTTTTCCCTATAATAGGGCCCCAGAACCCACACTGGGGATGCAGTATCTCTTCTGCTGATTATAGTGAACATTAGAAAATCAGCTTTAATTTCAAATATGTTAAATATTTTCACAATCTTTTTTTTTTTTTAATTTCATTCAGATTTTTGAGAATCCTGTTTTGGAAATGGGAACTGCAGAAATGAAGCATTACTCCACGACTTCATCAGCTCAGCTTACAAATAATGAAGTTACTGAGCCAAGTATGCGGCCATCTACAGAAAGGAAGGTATAACAGTTTTCTTTTGTGTGTGTAATTAGATGTGATATCATAGTTGTTGTTGTTGTTTGTGAGTTTGACTGAAGTGGTAACTCTACACAAACTTTCCATGATTAACTACCAACTTTGTTGATCCATGACCAGATATGTGATACAGGTAACCTTAGAGTAGAGCCCACTTCAACTGTTACCTAATGGGTGGTCCTAAGACAAGGGCAGATCCTGCTCCAGGAGTTACAAATAGACTAAGAATTATCATAGAAAGAGGTAACCTTCAGGAGAAGAGAAAACTACTTAAAACAATTGTGACGACTGAAACATTTTATGGAAAGAAAAATAGAGGAAGGCAACAAGAGAAGAATTTTGACAGCTCTTTTCCATGTCGTGGAACGGTGCCAACAAATGAACTGATAGATGCTGTTGGAGATAGCAAGATGCGACAAATCATGATCGTCCAACCATGTTGGCAAGACACTGAACTCTTTCAGCACCATAATTGTTACTTCAGCACTTGCTAACTCAGATTTTGTTTACTTTAGGGCAACATTGAGTCTAAGTGAACTAACATTGTAGAAAAATGGAACAGGATGAAATAAAGTAGCCATTGCTATAGAAAGAATGAATGGGGCAGAAGAAGTTGGCCAGTGTTTACCTTACGTATGGGCATCTGTAAGTGTATGGGGACTTGCCTGGTACTGAAAGAGTTAATTAACATCAGTAACTGGTCACTTTTACCTTAAATATGGACATCTGTAAGTGATGGGGAATTACCTGGTACTGAAAGAGTTAATTAACATCAGTAACTGACCAGTGTTTACCTCACATATGGACATCTATAAGTGATGGGTAATTACCTGGTACTGAAAGGGTTAATTAATATCAGTAACTGTCCATTGTTTACCTCACATATGGACATCTATAAGTGATGGGGAATTACCTGGTACTGAAAGAGTTAATTAACATCAGTAACTGTACCTCACATATGGACACGCATGCTGAATTACCTGGTACTGAAATAGTTAATTACAAATCTGACAAGGTTTTAAGCTGCATCACAATTACTGTTTTGACCAAATTTGTTATTGCAGCCGATTGGTGTAGTTAAAAGTCCTTCAACAGACACACCAGCCAAAACCCCTCCAGGCGTCCTTTCGAAAGAGGACAACCAGGCTTCTCTGCAGTCAGTGCGAGAAGCTATGGCTGTCAGTCTTCAACGAATGAGAGAACTTGAAGAGCAAGTGAAAACTATTCCAATTTTACAGGTGAGAGCGTATTGTTTTAAAAATTATTTATTGATAAAGTTACAAGTGTTCTCAATGCTATGTCTTTGAAGGTTCAGATGGCTAGGACTTACTCAGAAGATGGTGGATGGGAGAGTCCCTAAAGACACCTTTTGTAGTGAACTGTTGATGGGTAATGTTAAATGAAAGGATGCCCTCATTGGAACACTGTTGAATGGAAGGATGCCCACAGTGAAATACTGTCAGATGGAAGGATGCCCACAGTGAAGTACTGTCAGATGGAAGGATGCCCACAGTGGAACACTGTCAGATGGAAGGATGCCCACAGTGAAGTACTGTCAGATGAAAGGATGCCCACAGTGGAACACTGTCAGATGGAAGGATGCCCACAGTGAAATACTGTCAGATGGAAGGATGCCCACAGTGAAGTACTGTCAGATGGAAGGATGCCCACAGTGAAGTACTGTCAGATGGAAGGATGCCCACAGTGGAACACTGTCAGATGGAAGGATGCCCACAGTGGAACACTGTCAGATGGAAGGATACCCACAGTGGAACACTGTCAGATGGAAGGATGCCCACAGTGAAAATACTGTCAGATGGAAGGATGCCCACAGTGAAATACTGTCAGATGGAAGGATGCCCACAGTGAAATATTGTCAGATGGAAGGATGCTCACAGTGGAACACTGTAAGATGGAAGGATGTCCACAGTGTAACACTGTCAGATGGAAGGATGCCCACAGTGAAACACTGTCAGATGGAAGGATGCTCACAGTGTAGCACTGTCAGATGGAAGGATGCCCACAGTGAAAGACTGTCAGATGGAAGGATGCCCACAGTGGAACACTGTCAGATAAAGGATGCCTACAGTGAAACACTGTCAGATGGAAGGATTCCCACAGTGTAACACTGTCAGATGGAAGGATGCCCACAGTGGAACACTGTTGGATGGAAGAATGCTCACAGCGTAACACTGTTGGCTGGAAGGATGCTCACAGTGTAACACTGTCGGATGGAAGGATGCCCACAGTGTAACACTGTTGGATGGAAGGATGCCCACAGTGTAACACTGTTGGATGGAAGGATGTCCACAGTGTAACACTGTCAAATGGAAGGATGCCCACAGTGTAACACTGTCAAATGGAAGGATGCCCACAGTGGAACACTGTCAAATGGAAGGATGCCCACAGTGTAACACTGTCAAATGGAAGGATGCCCACAGTGGAACACTGTCAAATGGAAGGATGCCCACAGTGTAACACTGTTGGATGGAAGGATGCCCACAGTGTAACACTTTCAGATGGAAAGATGCCCACAGTGTAACACTGTCAGATGGAAGGATGCCCAAAGTGTAACACTGTCAAATGGAAGGATGCCCACAGTGTAACACTGTCAGATGGAAGGATGCCCATACTGTAACACTGTCAGATGGAAGGATGCCCACAGTGTAACACTGTTGGCTGGAAGGATGCTCACAGTGTAACACTGTTGGCTGGAAGGATGCTCACAGTGTAACACTGTTGGCTGGAAGGATGCTCACAGTGTAACACTGTTGGCTGGAAGGATGCTCACAGTGTAACACTGTTGGCTGGAAGGATGCTCACAGTGTAACACTGTTGGCTGGAAGGATGCTCACAGTGTAACACTGTTGGATGGAAGGATGCCCACAGTGTAACACTGTCAGATGGAAGGATGCCCATACTGTAACACTGTTGGATGGAAGGATGCTCACAGTGTAACACTGTCAGATGGAAGAATGCCCACAGTGTAACACTGTCAGATGGAAGGATGCCCACAGTGTAACACTGTCAGATGGAAGGATGCCCACAGTGTAACACTGTCAGATGGAAGGATGCTCACAGTGTAACACTGTCAGATGGAAGGATGCCCACAGTGTAACACTGTCAGATGGAAGAATGCCCACAGTGTAACACTGTCAGATGGAAGGATGCTCACAGTGTAACACTGTCAGATGGAAGGATGCCCACAGTGTAACACTGTCAGATGGAAGAATGCCCACAGTGTAACACTGTCAGATGGAAGAATGCCCACAGTGTAACACTGTCAGATGGAAGAATGTCCACAGTGTAACACTGTCAGATGGAAGAATGTCCACAGTGTAACACTGTCAGATGGAAGAATGCCCACAGTGTAACACTGTCAGATGGAAGAATGCCCACAGTGTAACACTGTCAGATGGAAGAATGCCCACAGTGTAACACTGTCAGATGGAAGGATGCTCACAGTGTAACACTGTCAGATGGAAGGATGCCCACAGTGTAACACTGTCAGATGGAAGAATGCCCACAGTGTAACACTGTCAGATGGAAGAATGTCCACAGTGTAACACTGTCAGATGGAAGAATGTCCACAGTGTAACACTGTCAAATGGAAGGATGCCCACAGTGTGACACTGTGAGATGGAAGGATGCCCACAGTGTAACACTGTCAAATGGAAGGAAGCCCACAGTGTAACACTGTCAAATGGAAGGATGCCCACAGTGTAACACTGTCAGATGGAAGGATGCCCACAGTGTAACACTGTCAAATGGAAGGATTCCCACAGTGTAACACTGCTAGATGGAAGGATGCTCACAGTGTAACACTGTTGGATGGAAGAATGCTCACAGTGTAACACTGTTGGATGGAAGAATGCTCACAGTGTAACACTGTTGGATGGAAGAATGCTCACAGTGTAACATTGTCAAATGGAAGGATGCTCACAGTGTAACACTGTTGGATGGAAGAATGCTCACAGTGTAACATTGTCAAATGGAAGAATGCTCACAGTGTAACACTGTTGGATGGAAGAATGCTCACAGTGTAACATTGTCAAATGGAAGGATGCTCACAGTGTAACACTGTTGGATGGAAGAATGCTCACAGTGTAACATTGTCAAATGGAAGAATGCTCACAGTGTAACACTGTTGGATGGAAGAATGCTCACAGTGTAACACTGTTGGATGGAAGAATGCTCACAGCGTAACACTGTTGGCTGGAAGAATGCTCACAGTGTAACATTGTCGGATGGAAGGATGCCCACAGTGTAACACTGTTGGATGGAAGGATGCCCACAGTGTAACACTGTTGGATGGAAGGATGTCCACAGTGTAACACTGTCAAATGGAAGGATGCCCACAGTGTAACACTGTCAGATGGAAGGATGCCCACAGTGGAACACTGTCAAATGGAAGGATGCCCACAGTGTAACACTGTCAAATGGAAGGATGCCCACAGTGGAACACTGTCAAATGGAAGGATGCCCACAGTGTAACACTGTCAGATGGAAGGATGCCCACAGTGTAACACTGTCAGATGGAAGCATGCCCACAGTGTAACACTGTCAGATGGAAGGATGCCCAAAGTGTAACACTGTCAAATGGAAGGATGCTCACAGTGTAACACTGTCAAATGGAAGGATGCCCACAGTGTAACACTGTCAAAGGGAAGGATGCCCACAGTGTAACACTGTCAGATGGAAGGATGCCCACAGTGTAACACTGTCAGATGGAAGGATGCCCATACTGTAACACTGTCAAATGGAAGGATGCCCACAGTGTAACACAGAGTAACACTTTCAGATGGAAGGATACCCATACTGTAACACTGTCAGATGGAAGGATGCTCATACTGTAACACTGTCAGATGGAAGGATACTCATACTGTAATACTGTCAGATGGAAGGATGCCCATACTGTAACACTGTCAGATGGAAGGATGCCCATACTGTAACACTGTCAGATGGAAGGATGCCCATACTGTAATACTGTCAGATGGAAGGATGCCCACACTGTAACACTGTCAGATGGAAGGATGCTCATACTGTAACACTGTCAGATGGAAGGATGCCCATACTGTAACACTGTCAGATGGAAGGATGCTCATACTGTAACACTGTCAGATGGAAGGATGCCCATACTGTAACACTGTCAGATGGAAGGATGCTCATACTGTAACACTGTCAGATGGAAGGATGCCCATACTGTAACACTGTCAAATGGAAGGATGCCCACAGTGTAACACTGTTGGATGGAAGAATGCTCACAGTGTAACACTGTTGGATGGAAGGATGCTCACAGTGTAACACTGTCAGATGGAAGGATGCCCACAGTGTAACACTGTCAGATGGAAGGATGTCCACAGTGTAACACTGTCAGATGGAAGCATGCCCACAGTGTAACACTGTCGGATGGAAGGATGCCCACAGTGTAACACTGTTGGATGGAAGGATGCTCACAGTGTAACACTGTCAAATGGAAGGATGCCCACAGTGTAACACAGAGTAACACTTTCAGATGGAAGGATGCCCATACTGTAACACTGTCAGATGGAAGGATGCCCATACTGTAATACTGTCAGATGGAAGGATGCCCACAGTGTAACACTGTTGGATGGAAGGATGCTCACAGTGTAACACTGTCAGATGGAAGGATGTCCACAGTGTAACACTGTCAGATGGAAGGATGTCCACAGTGTAACACTGTTAGATGGAAGGATGCTCACAGTGTAACACTGTCAGATGGAAGGATGCCCACAGTGTAACACTGTTAGATGGAAGGATGCTCACAGTGTAACACTGTCAGATGAAAGGATGCCCACAGTGTAACACTGTCAGATGGAAGGATACCCACAGTGTAACACTGTCAGATGGAAGGATACCCACAGTGTAACACTGTCAGATGGAAGGATACCCACAGTGTAACACTGTCAAATGGAAGGATGTCCACAGTGTAACACTGTCAGATGGAAGAATGCCCACAGTGTAACACTGTCAGATGGAAGGATGCCCACAGTGTAACACTGTCAGATGGAAGGATGCTCACAGTGTAACACTGTCAGATGGAAGGATGCCCACAGTGTAACACTGTCAGATGGAAGGATGCTCACAGTGTAACACTGTCAGATGGAAGGATGCCCACAGTGTAACACTGTCAGATGGAAGGATGCCCACAGTGTAACACTGTCAGATGGAAGGATGCCCACAGTGTAACACTGTCAGATGGAAGGATGCCCACAGTGTAACACTGTCAGATGGAAGGATGCCCACAGTGGTACATAATATTACAGTGTTCTCATTTTTCTTTCCTAAAGTAAATGAAGTATATCAGTTTCATATTTACATTATTCTTCCTATTTTTAATCCCTTGGTGCATTATAGGCCCTCTATCAACTGACACCAGTTTCTCCCTAAACTTTACCATTACGTGAAGCTAACCCCATTTTCCTTAGTCTTTTTCACCTCTATCTCTAATTTTCTTTATCTTCATTAGCTTTATGGGTTCTATTTTCTGGTTATTATTTTCTAATTGTTTCAATATGTGGCCTCTCCAACACTAGTGTCCTCTTTTGATTAGCGAGAAGTTTTCTTTTCTTTTCCCACAAAGCTCTATGTAATGATTCGTTTTATTTTTATAGTGACTAGTGAACATTATCAGTATGTTGTCTTTTTTCAAAGCATTGATAAGAATATTGCAAAAACCTTGGACTGCCAGAATAACTAACAATGATTGCCTGGAAATGGCTAATGAAAGTAGAACATTATATACAACAATGAGAAGGAAACAAAGTTCTTTGGTCATATAATGAGAAAAGGAACGCTGGATAATATTGTGACAACTGGAAAGAGATCACTGGTAGCAGAGGCAGACCAAGGGAAATGTTGGTGGATGGCTTCAGACAGTGGCATGGTAGAATATCAGTGGAATTGATCCAGAACACCAAAGACCGAGATCTGTGAAGATGCACAAACACCTATGCCAGCTGGCAAGGCACTTGATAATGACGATGATGAGATGTCTTTTATTATTTCAGTGTACATTTAAATTCCCACAACCAGCTACGGTCTTCAACAGTTGTAGTCCTTGGATGCTTCTTCTTCAGCTGTCTAAGCCATTTGTGAGCAGCTTTGCTGGTGATATCACCCACCTCCATTCATCTCTGTGATTGGCGTTATGTTTCCCCGCTGGTGACTCCGAGTGTTTGTAGGTCCGCTCTTATGTTGTTTCTCTGAAATCTTTTTGGTCTGCCTCATGGTTCACTCTCATTCAACTCTTTTGTGTACACAGTTGTTGTCTCTCTGTTATCTCCCATTCTCTCTCTATATCTCAACCATTTATTTTAAGTCCTTGAATTTCAGTTTATAACTGTTTTGATCGATTCACACTTTATACAAGTTTTTTCATCTTCAACTGAGGGAATCACAACAGTATAGTCCACTAGCACACTTAACTCCAATGGGGTGGGTGGTCATGTGTTTCATCTGTATTGAGGCATTAATGTTTTTTTATTTATCTGAGCTCTTAGGCCAACCCAGTCTAAACTGAGTACAAAGAAGTGTTCTGGGAAGTATTTAAAAAAAAAAAAACTTGCTCCAGTACATTGGTTATGGAGTGTCTGGATGTACACTGATTGTGAAGTGTCTGGATGTACACTGCTTGTGGACTGTCTGGATGTACACTGCTTGTGAAGTGTCTGGTTGTACACTGATTGTGAAGTGTCTGGATATACACTGATTGTGAAGTGTCTGGATGTACACTAATTGTAAAGTGTCTGGATGTACACTGCTTGTGGACTGTATGGATGTACACTGATTGTGAAGTGTCTGGATGTACACTGATTGTGGGCTGTCTGGATGTACACTGTGTATGGAGTGTCTGGATGTACATTGATTGTGGGCTGTCTGGATTTACACTGTGTATGGAGTGTCTGGATGTACACAGATTGTGGGCTGCCTGGATGTACACTGATTGTGAAGTGTCTGGATGTACACTGATTGTGGGCTGTCTGGATGTACACTGTGTATGGAGTGTCTGGATGTACATTGATTGTGGGCTGTCTGGATTTACACTGTGTATGGAGTGTCTGGATGTACACAGATTGTGGGCTGCCTGGATTTACTCTGACTATGGAGTGTCTGGATGTACACTGATTGTGGGCTGTCTGGATTTACACTGTGTATGGAGTGTCTGGATGTACACTGATTGTGGGCTGTCTGGATTTACACTGACTATGGAGTGTCTGGATGTACACTGATTGTGGACTATCTGGATTTACATTCAGTATAGAGTGTCTGGATGTACACTGATTGTGGGCTGTCTGGATTTACACTCAGTATAGAGTGTCTGGATGTACACTGATTGTGGACTGTCTGGATGTTTACTAATATTGGACTGTCTGGATGTGGATGTACACTTTTTTGGACTGTCTGAATGTACAGTAAATATCTGGGTGTACACCGAATGGACTGTTTGATGTAGACTGAGTTACCTGGGTGTAAATTGAATGTGGACTACTTGGATGGTCAGATTTTAACCTTCATCCACTATTAAAACCCCTGCCACCAGACCGGAAAAGTGAAAAAGATTGTCATAATGTCTTTATTTAGCAGAATCAGCAGAATTCGAACATCACATGCTTGAGTGGGTTCATATTAGTGGATACCACTCTGGTTTAATTTATAAACAAATTAGGATGTAAGTGGATGACTTTGATCTTTGCTCATCCCTGCTGACATTGATTTTCATCAGTCATCTGTTTGTATCTCTCCAGGTGCGTATATCAGTGCTGAAAGAGGAGAAGCGACTGTTGAGTCTTCAACTAAAGGCCACTAATGCTGGTGCTAAACCTCCAGTGAGTTCCATAGGGGTTGGTGATGGAAGAGTGGATGTTGTAGAAGTCATGGAACATTCTGTCAAGTCTCCTCGAACATTCGACTTCCCCAAATCTTTCTATGCAGATGACAAATCACCAGTTCAGAAATCACCACAATTTAAAAGCCCACCCCAGACATTACCTAAACCTACTAGAATATTCTCATCGGGTGTGGGTGATCACAGCGTCCTTGAACCCTACAACCTCCAACCAGATCTGCCATCTGGGTTCACTATTAGAGACAATGAAACATCCTTTGAAATACATTCCAGAACAGTCATACAGCAGACGAGCACCCCAGTAAATAGAATTTCCATCCAGTCTTTGAACAGGTCATTCCAAACTTCTCCAGATACTGTCAGCAGAGAAATAAAGACACCCACTACACAGCATCCAGCTGCAGACTCAAGCCAGCCTCATTTCACAATTAACCAAATACAAAGGAGCCCTCCTAGAGCTCTTACGAGAACTGTTGGTACAGGAGATGGAAATGTGTTTGATGAGTCCGGGCTACATGTTCATGAGAAGGAGCTGAGGACTGTGATCATAGGACCCAGCAGTCCCGTGGCTAAGAGAAACGTGGGTATCGAGTGTCGGGTGCCTACGCGGGATGTGGGCGTGTTGTTTAAATGTGATGAAGCCAAACCTGAAACGAGAACTGTGGGTGTTAATGTCAACTATGACACCAGTGGCATCCTGACCACGCTTGACTTCAAGGGGGAAACTGAGCTTCGAATGGCACTGAGAGGTGTTCTCCAGAGGAGCGTACGAAGTGTGGCAACTAACTGTAACTTTAATCCAACTGTTGTAGACTCCGGCACGGCAACAGACTCGTTCACAGGTATCAGTGTGGGCTGTGGAGATGAGGAGCAGAGGGTGGACGTGGATGTCAGGCCTGCAACCATGAAGAAGTCGGTGGCCACTGCTGCTAAACCAGAAACTGGACATAAATGGGTCAGCACTGAGCCAGAGTGGGCCTTGGATGCCAGCACAAACACATATCAGGTAGATACTTACCACAAATCTGTTATGACTGAGAGACAGAAACAGATGTTTGCAGCTACAAATACAGAGCCACCCATATGCCACATTGCAACGTGTCAGACTGAACAGAAAGTGTTCTCGGATCTTGATCAGGTTAGAAATACTGCTAGCAACACTGAACCAGCCAGAACTTATTCGACAGGAGTGTGTACTGACATCATTCCTACCTTCACTGTCGGCATCAACACCACAGAAATGGTCTCTGATGTCTTTCGAGTCTCATCTGAACAGAAGACTAGTGTTCAGGCCAACGAACTCAAGTCTCAAGAACTCAAATCTCAGGAACGCAAGTCTAAAGAACTGAAGTCTATATTAAAGAAACCAAAGACTGCTGATTCATCTGTGCAGAGAGATAGCAGAACTGACCCTGGTCATCAAGAAATCACAGAAACTTCCAGAAAGGTTCAAGCTACAGGTCATGAAAGTACATTTTTAAACCGCTATGGAGATGTAAAACACTCATCAAGTTCTGATGATAGACAACATTTGACTAGCAGAGAAACCACTTCCACTTCGCCACCTCAGACCAGAGACTTTGTTCGCAGTCAAGGGGCCTTCTTCAGTAGTCGAAAGGAGCTTTTAAACAACAGTTCCAGTCAGGAAGATTTGGAGAATAGACATTCTGCCTTTAAAAGGGTTTCTCCAAGTAAATCTGAAGATGGTTTTTCAGAAACTGTTGTAGAACATTACATCATAACCAACAATGGGAAGAAGCTTATTTCAGAAGAGAAAACAACCACTACATCTTCAGGAACCAACACGAGTTTCAGGAAATTTGCGCCAGAAGATGGAGATTTCTGGTCTCAGAATTTGGACCCTGAGGGGGACAGTAATAACCAGTCCGAAGATGTAAGCAGACTTTCAGAAGGTGGTGGATCCAGAATTAGCTCACATGAGAGCTACACAGTTAACAAACCAGTTGGGAGTTTAATGACAGAGAAGAACTTTGTTAGTGTGATAAACAACCCATATCTTACGGTAGACAATTTAGCCGAGGTTTCATCCTTGTTAGATTCTGACATAGGAAGCAGTTTAACAATCCCTCATATTTCCAAAACAGCAAGTGACAATTGTTTAAACAGAGAAAATAGAGAAATGAAACCCCCACTGCTGGAAAAAGCCAGTTCAGGAGAAATGATTTATGATATGAGAAAAACGGGGTCAGTAGAAGATTTTATGCCTGATGATATTAAAAGATTCATGTCTATTGATCCAAGTGCTTCTAAAGATTCTGGATTTGGTGAAGATTTAATTAAGAGATTCTCAGAAGAATCTTCAGGACACATATCCCATTCAACCGTGCCTCCTGTAGTTGACACATCCGATAGCAGCGGGTCAAGAAATGGGAAAACATCAAAAACTGTCACAGCAAAGAGTACTATAAGGATTGGAGATAAAATTTCTGTTCGAGAGACAAAAACTGTTGAAGGACCGCAAGGTGAAATAACCACCTATGTCACAGAAACAACTGAAGATGGTGGGACAAGAGCTTGGGAGGATCAGTCCCCAGCTGGTCAGCTTCCCGTCTCTCTGACAAGTGAAGATGACTCAGAAACCAAGACTGCATCTTCAGCTTCAAAGACACATATCTCCAACATTCTCAGTTCTCAGCATTGGTCAGATTCAAACCTATCTTCCCCTGTGACCGGTGACAGTGAGTTTGCAGGCAGGGGTAATTTAACTGTCGGTGGCACCAAAAGTTTCAGTGAGACGATAATGACTGCAATTGGTGGCAGTGATGGGGATTTGGCCAGTGAGGTGGGCAACTATGGATCTCTGGACAGGCAGACTGGCAAGCTCAAGTCTATCATGAAGCGAAGGCCATCAGATTCACAGCAGATAGGCAGCAGAAGGGGCATCAGGTTTGCAGAAACTGTGACTGGAGGGTAAGCTGCTGATTTTCTTAAGTCATTCTTTCAGTGGTAGCTAGGGTGGTCAGGTGGCTAGTTGCTTGCCTGTCAGTCTTGGGTTTGAACCTTCATCCTCTTGGGTTTTATACAATGACCTAGAACATTTGTTGGTACTTATTTTTGGCTGGGTCTGCCTTGGAGCTAAAGGCCAGTTATAAAAACCTACTTTGATGCCTATTATAACTAAGATCTGCAGGCAAGAAGCTTCCACATGTGGTTTGGAGTTTAATTTTGACAAAATTGTCATTGGGGCGAGACCCAAGTTCGAATCCTTAGTAAGGTCATGGATTTTTCTGCTGGGGCCAAAAAAAAAAACACACACACACACAACCTTACCTGCACAGTCCATGGTAAAAATCTTAGCCTGCACAGTCCGTGGCGACAGCACTAGCCATGCAGTATTATTAAATCTTCAGGCTCAAAGCCTCTCCGTCTACACCACAGGCAGTAAGTGGCAGTTTTTGTTGGGGAAAGGGGAGTTATTGGGCAAAGTTCCAGATGGTACAATCTACTAGGTGATGACTAGTGTTGGACGAGCAAATATTTTAGTAGTCAGGTTGACACTAAGTGCCACATATAAAATTTTATTGCAGATTTAAATGTTGGAATGCATGAAGTTTGCAAGCAAAAGCTGCATGAAAGAAGCAGCACAGACTGGTATGCAGAAAGAATAATTGTGATCCAGAAACTGTCATGTATCCCAGTGGTCATAAGCCCTCTCACAGTCATGTCTCTACACAGATCTGGATTCTTGATAGTTAGGTTGATGATATTCCCCCATGCCACTGTTCTAAATTCGAGTGCCGATTGGTGCGTAATGTTGACCACACCACCCACTGAGTGCCGATTGGTGCGTAATGTTGACTACATCACCCACCGAGTGCCGATTGGTGCGTAATGTTGACTACATCACCCACTGAGTGCTGATTGGTGCGTAATGTTGACTACATCACCCACCGAGTGCCGATTGGTGCGTAATGTTGACTACATCACCCACTGAGTGCTGATTGGTGCGTAATGTTGACTACATCACCCACCGAGTGCCGATTGGTGCGTAATGTTGACTGCATCACCCACCAAGTGCCGATTGATGCATAATATTGAGCACATCACCCACCGAGTGCCGATTGGTCTGTAAAATATAGGTCGAGCCCTATGTGCATGAAACAGCTGAAAGCATGGAAAAGTGTCATTTTATTCTCTTAGAACATGCAGTAGCATTTCTCTCAGCCTCCGAATTCTCCTCTGATATTTCCAGTTATCTTGATGTTTGCAGAGGAGGGCCTCTAGTAAATAATGAGAGCACTGGGCTCTCTTGTCGGAGACCTGGATTTTATCCTCGTTAAGAGATTGAGATTTGTTTCTGCCAGCGGCACAAAAATAAACAATCCTAACCTGCACAGATTTGCCTGCTCTACACCGCCCTAACAATGATAAATACAGGCAGTCAAGATCTGCCTATGCTTCTCTACTTTTCTCTTGACCAAAATACGGTGTCTTTTCTTCTGTCAGGTTTTGTATAATGTTCTGATTTAATTAGCTTTTCCAATCCATGATTGCTAGCTATGCTGGCTGTACAAAGTATTCACAGTACTCACAGGAAAGTTGGAAGGCAAAATAGAAAATCTAAAGTGAAGATACTTAACAGCTTGAAATTGTGAAACAGAGAAACATCTGTCTCTGATTGTTGGCAACACTTGAACTAGAAGGCTGCTGACAAATATGATGACCGATATCTAATATCATATAAGAAGAAGACATCCTAACCAAAGTGCTATCTATAACTAATAAAAATGTTTTGTTAAAAGAAAAAAATGTGTACGCTTTAAGGCATATTGGGCATGTAACATTAGACCAGCCGGCGCTTGGTGCAGGATGTGGTCAGCATCAGATCAGCTACCATTACTTCACAGGGCTGGGCCTGGTGACCACTCAAAGCTGGGTCAATCTGAGAGCAAAAGTCCACTTTAAACAAAAAATTCCTGCTTCATCAGAAACCAAACCCAGGACCATCCAATTTGCAGGCAAGTGTCAAGCTGTTACACCACAGCAGGTTCCCTGAGTAAATGATACTAGGTTCTTATTTTTGTTGACCAGTCAGCACTCCGTTGATTGCAAACAATAATGCGCTGCATTGCTGTGAGAGTTAATATGGGTACCTATAAACCGTATGAATGATATACTGCAGTATTGGATTGAGTTCTCTAGTACGATTTTATAAACCATACAAACCCATACACTGTGCACACTGTGTTGCTGTGAAAATAAAATTAAATACCCATGAAATGATGCATATAAATGACATGTTGCAGTACTGGATCCAGCTCTCAAGAAGACGAGGAGGAAAATACTTCAGACTCAGATTCTACTGCCAGTTTTGAAGAGGGGTCTTATGATGGACAGCAAGGGCAGGTTATATATTATTGCAAAGATGATGAGGCCATAGCTCAAGGCCTGCCTGGAGCTCAGATGTTCGATCAGAATATCAGAGAAATGTAAGTTTCCTCTTGTTGCATGATAAGACTATCAGAAAAATGTAAGGATCCTCTTGTTGCCTGATCAGAGAAATGTAACTTTCCTCTTTTTTGCATGATCAGAATATCAGAGAAATATAAGTTTCCTCTTGTTGCATGATCAGAATATCAGAGAAATGTAAGTTTCCTCTTGTTGCATGATCAGAATATCAGAGAAATGTAAGTTTCCTCTTTTTGCATGATCAGAATATCAGAGAAATGTAAGGATCCTCTTGTTGCATGATTAGAACATCAGAGACATGTAAGTTTCCTCTTGTTGCATGATCAGAATATCAGAGAAATGTAAGTTTCCTCTTTTTGCATGATCAGAATATCAGAGAAATATAAGTTTCCTCTTGTTGCATGATCAGAATATCAGAGAAATGTAAGTTTCCTCTTGTTGCATGATCAGAATATCAGAGAAATGTAAGTTTCCTCTTTTTGCATGATCAGAATATCAGAGAAATGTAAGGATCCTCTTGTTGCATGATTAGAACATCAGAGACATGTAAGGATCCTCATGCTGCATGATCAAAATATCAGAGAAATATATTCTGTTTATTGCACTGCCATTGGCATCAGACTATTTGATGCCTTCTTTTGCAGCTCTTCTTTGCTGTTCCACTTATCTCTTCCTCTGTAAGTGATTAGTCTATAGACTTTCTCACTGCCCTGTCCCTTTCTTTCCAGAATTTACTCCAATAGTTTCATTTGTTAAATGATTCTTTATCTGAGTTCCTAAACCTGTAAAAACCTTTATGTTAAGCATGATTGAATACAAAAAAGTACCTATGACTGCAGAAATGGTATAGTTTATCCCCATTCCCAACTAATTCTGCTTTGTGTAATATGTTTGGCATCTGTTTGAGGATAGATGAGTGGAAGGGAGGATGTGTGTATTTTCCTGCTGGTGGGGAAATAGAAGGGGTGTGTGTGCGTGCGTGTGTGCAGTTGAAAAATGTTGAGCTTGATTCAGCATTGATGAATAATTGGTAAATAGAATGTTTTGTTAATACTTTGAATCTTCTGTTTTGACTTTCACTAACTTATTCCAAGTCCAATTTGTCCAACAAAAATTCCAAATTTGATCCTCTTTCAGCCGCCGGAGGCCTGCTATATCGAAGAAGGGTCCTTAGCTGTCTTTAATGGTTTCCTTTTATTCGTGGTGTGTGGTCACACCTGATATTATGGTTGTTTGCTTCCTTGCTGTGCTGCGGTGATTGTGGTTTTTGGTTCTGGTGTGGTCCAGATCTTCTTTGCAATGATATCGATGGGTACTAGCTGACTGTTGCTGGCGCTTGGCTTGCCTTGTGCTGGTCGCTGTGCTGGTGCCCTGTTGCTGCTTGGTTGCCGATCTGTAAGCCGCCGGAAAAAGCCAAACAAACACCAGGTCATAACGCCTCTATACAATGTTCCTTTTCAGGACAACCAGGGCCGTCACAATCTGTTGTTGTGATCAGCCCTTTTTTTTTTTTTTTTTTTTTTTCTTCTCCACGGAGTGTGGAGGTAAGATAGACTGCATATGAGAGATCAGTTTGCCCGAATGTGCCAGGAGATGTGATAGTTAGGTCGGGAGAATGAGAGTGACAGATAGAGGTAGGATCCACCCTGGTCGGCTGAGGTCACTTGGTCTGAAATAAAAGTGAATGGCAATTGTTAACATACACGTGGGGTGGGGTGGGGTGGCATGACGGTGACTGGAATTCCCAAGTGCTGGTCCCCTTAGGTGCAATGCCCTCGGCTATCTGCGTCGGGTGGCCTGTGGTATTTTCCGTTGTCTTCTCCACGGAGTGTGGAGAAGTAGTTGAGGTAAGATAGACTGCATATGAGAGATCAGTTTGCCCGAATGTGCCAGGAGATGTGATAGTTAGGTCGGGAGAATGAGAGTGACAGATAGAGGTAGGATCCACCCTGGTCGGCTGAGGTCACTTGGTCTGAAATAAAAGTGAATGGCAATTGTTAACATACACGTGGGGTGGGGTGGGGTGGCATGACGGTGACTGGAATTCCCAAGTGCTGGTCCCCTTAGGTGCAATGCCCTCGGCTATCTGCTTCGGAGCGTCGGGTGGCCTGTGGTATTTTTCGTTGTCTTCCTTTTTCTGAAAATAAACTAGGTTAAGATTTTGGTTAGCTCTATTTATAAAAACTTATAATAATTTTACTTTAATTTAGAAACTACTTTAAAATTATTTATAGTTTGTTTTTTGAAGGCTAATGTGGTTTTGATTACATTGTAATTTTTTTCCACCTATTAAAGCTATGAACTGCCAAGTGAAGTTAGACAAGCATGCAATGTTCTGGCCACATACCTTGTTGACTCTACCTCGATTCAGACCAGACAGTTGGTAAGTTTCTAAATGTGGGTGACTGGCGAGAGAGATTGCAACAGTAAGATACAGTCAGTCAGGTTACCAGTGTGCAAAAAGCACTTATAAGAGCTATAAACAAAGAGACTTGGTTGAACAGATGGGCCTTAGGAGACACTGTAAGAGAGGTTTATAGACATATGGCTGGCCTTGATCCTCGTGGTAGCATTAACCATCTAAGAAGAAGGGACTAGGCCACCATCTTCAGACTCAGAACACAACATACTCTGCTCAGTTGTCATCTAAACAGAATACAGCCACAACCCTCCCTAGAGTGCCAGCTAAGTAACTACCCTTACAAAACTGTTGAACACCATCTCTTTGAGTGCCCAAAACTCAGCAAGACTAGAAGAATACTTCTCCCTCCGAGACCAGACAAGTGGAACACCTTGTACGGAGGAAAACAACAGCTTGTAAAAACATGCAAATTCCACTACATGGCATTGGGCCAGAGGGCGAAAGTTCATGGGCCGCTGGATCGATAACAACAACGTAACAACAACAACCGGTATTTTCATGCTGGTAGGTCTGTCCACAATGAATTGTATCACAAATGGACTGAAGAGCAGTTGATGGGTGGTTACAAATGTGAAGCTTTCATTCAGAAAACCGAGTGTAAATCCTTGATGGATTTTTCTGTTGGGCCAAAAATAAAATCCAAACCAGTGCAGTCAGTGGAAGCTGCATTAATCATGCAGCCTTAATCCTCAGGCTGAAGATGCCCTGTCCTGCACTGCCCTAGAGAGTGTTAACACAGGCTGTTACTGACTACTTGGCCGGCGTAATGCTGACCACATTACCTACCTAGTGCTGATTGGTCTGTAAAAATATCGCTCTTCCCATATGCCTGATGCGCCTAAAGGCATGAAAAGGGATCTTTACCGTTTTTTTTAAAACTATATTACTGACTGCTGATAAGTCTTTAAATAATATAATATATAATTTCAGAATAAATCAGCCCTCTTACATTTTAAAAGAAGAAAATAAAAAGAAAATGATTTGGATTTAAGAGAAATCTAAGAAACGTTTATCTAAGTACGAACTCTAGTCTTTTGTGATAAACTTTTTAAGTCTCAAGATGTGTGTGTAATGTGATGGACTCTTTTCAATGAATCACATTCATGGCATTATAAGTTTCCTTATTTTCTTACATTGGTCAAAGCACACTTATAAAATCTGGTCTTTCAGAATCCTTGTATTTACCCTATTGAAAGTAGTGCACTCTATATTTCATAGTTGTTTCCAGGGGAAAGATTTTCTGGTTCTGATTGTCACAAGTATGGGCTACTGTTAATGAATTTTTCACATACTAAACTTTATTTAGTTTGTTTTTTAAACTGCATCAATTTGAAGCAGCTTATGTCTTCTCCCAAGTAAAATTAAGATATTCTGAACTGCAAATATGGCTTCATAAAGTTAAATAGCATAGATATTTTATTTGTCCGGTCATTTGTGTGTGTGTGTGTGTGATAGCTTAGGGATCTACCGTATTATGAATAAGTGGATGCATGGATTCTAATGAGGAATGAAAGTATAGTTCCTCAAAGCAGAAGTCAGCCAGCACAGGGCATTGGAGAACTTTTGGGCATAAGATACATGAGGCAGGGGAACTGATACAGGACCAGGATTCTGCTATCAAGGGAGAACATTCAGTATTCTGCTACATATTGTGATGAGTGCATTCTAATATACTGTGTATTATTCCTTATATTATAATAATGCATCGTCTGATTGCTATCATCCTATTTTTATAGAAACTATAAGCTATTATTTTGTATCCTCTCATACCTGTGTGGAGAGCCTCCATAGTAAAGCAGCTAAACGCTCGCCTGCAGATTGGTAGGCCGTGAGGTCGCGTCCTAGTGTGGCCTGCCTTTTTTTTTTAATGTGATCTTGACTCTCAGGCTTGATTGGGTACCAGGTACAGTCTTGGGAAGTAAAAGGTGGCCAGCGTTATGCTGATCACATCAGCCACCCAGTGCCAATCGGTCTATAAAATATAGGTCTAGCCCTATATGCCCAATGTGCCTAAAGTAAAGGGTTCTTTCTTTACATACCTGTGTGGGTTCTGGGGCCTTATTTTAGGTAGTAAAATAAGACCCATTATTCCCCCCCCCCCCCCCCCCCCCCCCCCCCCAAAGGAAGCATTTCATAAAAGGCAATCATTTAAGAGTGCTTCTTCCGGAGTCTTGAGTACATCTGCAAGAGAAGGGAGGAATCAGTCTGCATATAAAAAAGCCAGATCTGTAAAATGGATGTGCACACAAAATTCAGGTTGTGGAACAAGACCAAAGTCCAGCATTGGACAAGCAACCAGAATCATTTGCCAGAGCTTACAGCCAATGAATGCAAAGAAGATGAAGTATTTTCTGAAACTTGTTAATTTGATGTCCCGACTGTTTATCTTGTATCATCTGATATTAGTTAACTTGCTGTCCCTGCCTGTATCAAATGATACTTGTTAACGTGACATTGCTGACTTTGTATTATCTTGCTACTTGTTAAATTGACGTCCTGTCTTATTCATTTCTTTAGAACGCTTGTCAGACCCAGGTACAGGAAGAGTGGTTTCGGGTGTCCAGTCATAAGTTATCGGTGGCTCACCAAGTGGAAGACTTCCTTTCTTCTGTCAACGAGATCTCAAAGAGACTTCTGGAGCATGTTATCAACATGGCAGATGCAAATGTGAGTGGGATGATGTCAGTGCTTCCATGTAATGGAAAACAGTCTAGTATAAGTACAAAATATTTCTTCTTCTTCTGGCCTTTGAACAGCTATTGACATTGTGGTTTACAGCTAAACTGCGATATATGCAATTTGTGGCCTAACACATCTGATTTCAGCAGACCTCTAATTCATTGGTGTCCTTCATTTTTTCAGGTGGTGCCCCCTTGAGTAAATGACAATAACCCCTTGACATCCCCCACCCAATGTAATTAAAAGGAGGAAGATAAAGAAAAATCTCAAGCACTGTGGACAAGAGCTTGGAAAAAAAAACATGCACATAAATTAAAGTGTCAAATAATGAAAAGAAACAATCACCAACAACTGTTAATCTAGTGCCCAGATATTACTGTGATGGTTGACAGTATGATGGTTTTGTCATAGTTATATCTGGTATTTTGGGTCTGATAATGGACAAGGAACAATGGAGATTACTGCTGGCAAAGCTGTTTTGTTTTCCTTTTTGTTTTATAGTATTAAAATATGTATTTATAATTAAACTGCAAAAATATTAGTATATCAGATTCTTATAAATGAAAATGCACTTGATTTCAAAACTGCTTTGTGCCCCACTTGAAACCTCAGTGCCTCCCCCCACCCCCCCCCCCCACCCCCCGCATCCCCACCTTTCCTGGGCTAGAGACCTCTGCTGTAATTAGTTGTCTTGTACAACATTCTTGTTAAAGGGCCTTGGGTTTATTCTTTATCCCTCCTAAAATGGCAAGGTAATTGCATAGGAGTGTGTGGCTAAGCAGATAGCTTACCAGGTTTTATTCAAGGGACCCAGGTCTGTATCCTCAATAATATGAGATTTTTTTATGTTAGGCAAAAATATAAATCTTCACCTGCACTTCATGACGACTGCATTAGCTATATGGCCCTAAATCCTCAGGCTCAAACACCTGTGGATGGCATTTTTGTTTGGTCTTAATCTTCTCCTGCGTTCACTGGCTATAAGCCCCGGCAGAAAGTCCTGGTTGTTCATCCATTTGGACTTTGGCTTTCTACCAGGGCCTGTGTTTTGTGTGTACATCTGTTTTACTGGCTTATTAGTGTACAGTTGGTTGTTTCTTGTTGCTCAGGCAGATGTATTCCAACTTCTAAGGAAGCCCCAACTAGTCGACCTTTATGACATGCTTGTTGAGGAGGCAGCGGGACTGTTCTTGTTCTCCTCATAATGGGGCACTGGAACTCATACGGGGATGTTTTGGCCATAAGTCTTATTATTTAATTGTCAGACTGTATAGGCTGCTGTGATCTTGTGTCATGTCGAAAATACTTTGCTGGAAAATCCTTGCTATTTTTTGCAGGGCAATACAGCCATCCATTACTGTGTCTCACACTGCAACTTTGAGATAGTCAGTCTGTTGCTGGATTCCGAGGTGTGTGATATCAACAAGCAGAACAAGGCAGGCTACACCCCCATCATGCTGGCTGGACTTGTCACTTTACAGAACCCAGAACATCAAGAAACTGTCCGCAGGCTCTTCTCCAGGGGTGATGTCAATGCAAGAGCAACATCAGTTAGTCATTTGTTATCAGTTCATTAAATTCATGTAACTTCTTCTTCTTCATTTTTCTTTATTTTTTTATTCCTCTTCTTCTTTGATTTTTTTTTCCTTCTTCCCCCTCTACCTTTGAAAGGACAGTTGGCACATTGTATTGTGGTTTAATGTCAGGCTACAGTGTCTGTATCTTTTATCCGCTACCTCAGATTTCAGCAAACCTTTCATTAATCCCTTTACAGAAGCTTTATTAAGTATCCGCAGCATTTATTGACAGTCTTGTTGCATGGCATGGAGGTGTGTCAGCACACAAACTGATACATGCTGCAGAAGATTGTGAAAAGGCATGATTGCCCACGCCAGTTGGCAAGGCACCTGATGATGATGATGTGCACATCGCACTCAGTAGAAGTCACAGTTTCACAGTTTTGTATGATTTGCACACTGGTGTATTTTTTTTCAACTTCTTTCTTGTTTACATCATAGTCTCTACATTAATAGTTAAGAATGTGATCTATTCTTTGGGACCGTAAAGTTAATAGGATGTGAACTGTTGCTGTAGCTACTTTTATTATGCAGTATTCTTATAGTTGAAATAAAACAGTCACAAACAGTATATTGTACAGTTTATTGACTGGCATATGTGTTTAATCTTAGACTTCTGTTGTACAGCGTATGAAGAGACAGTGTCATGTGTGTATTTCATTGAAAGGATTCATGTTTGGTGCTTCATTATTTGTGGATGTGTGCGGCTCTGTGGCTTAGAGATTAGTGAGTGTGTTTCACAATTTCACCATTCTTGACATACAAGTCTTTTTTTTACACAACTGGCAGTTAATATTTTTTTTTTGAAATATGTTGTGACGTTTGGTGAGTGTTGTAAGAATTGCACAGTGTATATTAACGGCACCACCACTTAATATTCCCAAAGAAAACAATAAGTGCGCTTGCAGCAAACTTTCATTGTAGAGACAGAACACAAAATATGTTTATATCAGCTCTGTAACAATGCACCTGAGGAGATGCAGAAAAATATAGTTTTAAAATAAGTGAAAGACCCTTTGCAACGTCATAAGTCAAATTGGGTATATGGTGCTAGACCAGTAGTTTATAGACCATTTGGCACTTGGTGGGTGATGTGTTCGACATCAGGCCTGCCGCCTTTACTTTCAGGACTTTACCTCGTACCAATTTTAAGCTGGGTCAACCTGGGTTTTCTTTTTAAATGAGGCTTGATGTGGATTTGAACCCATGAAGGACAAAATATGCAAGGCAAGAAGTTGTACAAACTTTTGTTTGTTTCCTATTTTTTTTAAATCTTAATGGGCAAACATTGTTTTTTGTATGTCGAATCTGTAGACCAAGCAGACGGCCCTAATGTTGGCAGCCAGCCATGGCAGGACAGAAATGGTACGACTGCTTGTGGAGGAAGGTGCGGACATCAACTTGCAAGATGAAGATGGCTCCACGGCCCTAATGTGTGCCTGTGAACATGGCAACTTGGATATTGTAAACTTCCTTCTGGCTCAGCCCGGCATTGATGCCAACATTGTAGACAATGTAAGTAGAATTCTCATTTTGCCATGTTGGCTTTGCAGACATCACAGAAAATATAAGCTGTTTAATTTATCCAACATTCTCTAGTTTTTGTTTTAAAAAGAACACAATAAATGTAAAATCTCTCAAATGATCATAATTCTTTAGTTTTTGGCTTCACAAAAACCGATGACTGTAAAATTTATAAAGTGTATCTATAATTGTGCGTTGTTATATTTTTTTCTTAACGAAGACCACAGTCAGTTAAAAAAAAAAATAATCTTTTTATATATATCCATAATTTTCTAGTTTTTGGCTTCACAGAGACCACGGACAGTGTAAAATCTCTAGTATATCCATCATTCTCTTCTATTTAGCTTTGCAATGAACACTGACTGTAACATTTCTAAAATATAATTCCCTTGTTTTAAGCTTTACAAAGACCACTAATGGTGTAGAATTTCTATAATATCTATTGTTCTCTTGTTTTGGCTTTGTTGGTAATATTAACATTTCACACTTTTGCTTATATACGGAGACTCAAGATGAGCAGCTTAGGTTATCTGTAATATCACTCCTGTGTGGGAACCATGGTGGCACAGTGGCTAACCTGTTTGTCTGTTGATCAAGTAGTTATAGCTTGACTACTCATTGAGGCTGAAGTTCACTGTCTAAAATTGGCACCAGGAATTCTCCTGGGAAATAAAGGGGCCACCATGAGTTGACCACATCAGCCATCAGATGCTGATTTGTTTGTAAAAGACATGGGGCTAGCACCATATGCTTTGAATGCCTCAGAGTGTGGTTTGAGAACTTCACTTTTACTTTATGTTTTTACCTGTACTGTGGTGCTTCGGAATTCAGACAGTTCGTTCTGAGACGGCAATTGAATTCCAAATCTTTAGATTTCCCCAACAATTGTTCCCATTAAAAATAATAGAAACTACATTAATTTGTTCCAGAATCCCGACAGATTCAAGTTTTAACATTTATTTTCCTAATTACACTGTAAACTTAGTAACAGATGATCCTATTTTATTAAAAACAAATAAAGTAAAAAGATGTAAAAACAAATATTATATTCTCTGTACATAGGAGGAGGAAGGGGAAGTAGACTATTGTTTGGAAGGTGAGTCACCTCCCTTTATAACACCAGGAATCCTTTCTGATGTTTCATATTGTAGACTTTCAGCACTTGCAGACTATTTGAGGTCACTAGTTTTTGTTGAGAGCCAGGTTCCAGAGGGCTTTGCTGTTCTATAAAGTGATCACTGAATAAGTGAACGTAATGGTTAGCTAAGACTCTATCAGGAAACCACCTGTCAACAAACTTTTGGGTTTTTGATCACATTCTCAAAATACCTTGGATTTCAGCTGTGCTGATTCTTCCAGCTACACTCACTTCCTCCCCAGAAGAAACTTCTTTTGCAATTTCTTTTTTCCGCTGAAGGTCTTTCAGTGTCAATTGGCATGTGCAGTTTGTTCAGTTTCCAAGGTGTCATTCAAGTTCTGAGGCAAAGTTTACCTGAAAGTTCGTTTGAACTCTAGGGTGTTCTAATTTTGAAGCATTTGAATTCCGAGGTACCACCTAATTGACTTCTCTGGGTAAACTAGAGGCACGGAAAACTGAAATTACTCTGATAAACACAGCTGGAATAATTTGTTGACTAAGGTGAAAGCTTCTACTAGTTTAAAAAAAAAAAAAGTAAAGTTCCCTTTTCACGCCTTTCGGCACATCGGGCATATGGGCAGAGCGTCCCATATTTTTACAGACCATCAGCACTCTGTGGGTAATGTGGTCAGCATTACGCCGGCTGTCTTTACTTTCCCAGGACAGCCTACTAGTATTAGTCAGTTAAATTTCAGCTGAATAAAATGGGAACCTGGAAATGTCACTGTCTCACTGAGTCTAATTTTTTTTTTTTTTATGTCTCTCTGTCTAATTTTCTAAGTAAAGTTTTATTCTTGTTGAATAATTATTAGCTGCTGAAAACTGTTTAAAAAAATGTAATTCTGTTCCAACAAAAAAGAAAAGCGTGCAATGTGGCAGCATAGGGATTAGCACTTTATTAACAAGCATAGAGATTTAGCTATTGTGGTCAGTTAACTGTTCAAAGATGTGAGATTTTCATACAGGTTTTTTTCTCCCTGATTTTGAAATGTAATGTTCTAAGTGAGGTTTCCATGACCCCCATTTGGCTGTCTTTATTCCTACCTATTGAATATTAGTTTGTCAATCCTCTACATTATGCTTTTTATTTGTAGTGTTCTCATCATTCCTCTGTAAAACCAATCTTTCACATAATTTCTGATTAAAATGTCCAGTGTTTACTTCCAAACATCGTGGTTGATTATTTATGGCTTTTAGAAACTCCTTTTCTCATATTAGATGACAAAGATATTGTGTCCATCTGCCTGCGTAAAAAGCCATTAGGAAATATATATCCAAATCTTTTTGTTTGCACCATTTCTAACCTACATGCTACTGACGATAAATATCTTCACCTTAACTATTTGAGTCTTCTGTTTTGTCACAGGTTTTCTTTCACTATCAGATGCTGCTTTATTTGCAGAATGGGGCATTGAAATCTCAGAACAAAAGAGGCACATCATGTCTCAGTGTTTCATCAACTGCAATTGCCTGTGTGTTTAAATGTGTCCTTCTGTTCCTCATTATTGTCTTTAGTTGGTGAGTGTATATTTACATTGTCTTCTTTTCACTCTTAGATTGCTAATTTCTCATATTGCTTGCCTTGCAGTTTACTAGTCCTGTTTGTTTCTTTGTATAATACAGGTGATATATTCGCTCATAAACAACTAACAAGTTCATTTTTTTTTTTTTCATCTTCTACCCAGTAATTTTTTTTAGTCTCTTGAATTGCAATATCTTTTCCTTTTTCTGCTTTTGCCATTTATCCCCAGTGGAGCACAGGCCCTGTCAATTCATGCCAAGTTGTCCTATGATTTGCCACTGCATGCAACTTCCTTGATCTCTTCATTTTTTTGTTTTCACTTCCGTCTCCAATTCTATTCTTTATGTTTGTTGATCTCCCTCTATTACTTTGGTCATGGGAGTTCCAGTGTAGGCCACGTTCTGGTTATCTGAATGCAGGTCTGATTCACTAAATATATTTAGTTCTATCCCAAAGATTGTCTAGTTATCTGAATGTGGGTCTGATTCACTAAATATATTTAATTCTATCCCAAAGATTGTCTAGTTATCTGAATGCAGGTCTGATTCACTAAATATATTTAGTTCTATCCCAAAGATTGTCTAGTTATCTGAATGAGGGTCTGATTCACTAAATATATTTAGTTCTATCCCAAAGATTGTCTAGTTATCTGAATGTGGGTCTGATTCACTAAATATATTTAGTTCTATCCCAAAGATTGTCTAGTTATCTGAATGCAGGTCTGATTCACTAAATATATTTAGTTCTATCCCAAAGATTGTCTAGTTATCTGAATGTGGGTCTGATTCACTAAATATAATTAGTTCTATCCCAAAGATTGTCTAGTCATCTGAATGTGGGTCTGATTCACTAAATATATTTAGTTCTATCCCAACATAACAGGTCAGCATTTAAAGATGTTTGCTGGAAAATTTATTATGAATTAAAAAAAGCTGATTAAGTTGTCCTCTAATGTTCAGCTGTGTCAAGATACAAAATACAATCATTGTCTGAGTTTTAGATATCACTCAAAAGATAATATTCACATGTGAGCTATAAAGCTATCAGATTGGGTGTCTTTTTTTTTTTTTTTTTTACGATCTCCTATTTGTTTGATGAAAGACTTTCTCAGCCATATCAGTTTAAAAATTAAAAAAAAAAACTTGAATTAATGTTATTGCGATGCTTCATCTATCAGAATGAAAGCTCTAACCACGTATATCAGATTATCTTACCTCTGAGGAGCAGCAGATGTCACTTTAGATAAAATTTGTAATTTTGTGACATCAGATCTGACAAAAGACTGCCATCTACATTAATTGTTGTTTCTGTGTTTGGCCAGCTGTCAGGTGGGCCGCACAAATTGTTTTCCTGCTTTGGTGGGCCATTGGTGTAAAAAGTTTGAGAAATACTGTTCTGTCATGGGGTTGTTTTTTAAAATCTCTCCCAAAGCTCCACTTTAGTGATTCTGTCATAACTCTATTCTGCACAGGCACTAGAAAATAAATGTTTTTAGTTTATTAGTAACTTTAGTTGTTCTCCATGTTTCTGCTACCTACAGCAGTACTGATTTGATGTAGAGTTCACTATGGCTCTACTGTAGTGAATTGTTTGCACTTCCATAGATCTCCTTATACTGTCCTGCAGTGGCTGTTCTGTAAATTATTAATCTTTGTGATTAGCACTTTGAAAGCAAAATTGTATCATGATGTGCTGTGTGTGGTGGTCATGGTTCTTCATTTCTCATGATCACCAGTTTCTTGAGTCAGCTCTATGTTCATGCCCTGCTTATGTCATCTAGTCAAGCCTCGAAGATTTCTCACCAGCACCAGTTTCTAGGATCCTTGTGTCCTTGTTCTCCCTATGCCGTCTAGTCAAGCCATCAAGATTTCTCACCCGCACCAGTTTCTACAATCAGGTTTGTGTCCTTGTTCTGCCTATGCCCTCTAGTCATGCCATCAAGATATTTATCTGTTTGTCTCCGCCTGGCTGTCTGCTCATCAAATTTGCCAGATGCCACTGAGCTTTAATTCCTTTCCTCATAATATGTCCAAATAATCTTGCCTAGGTACATCTAATTTCTCTGTTCTTGTAATGGTTTGCAGCTGTACCTAGAAGGACTGTTTCATTCATTTTTCTGTCCATCCATACTGTTCCATGAGACAACCAAATTTCCGTTTCCACCAACTGCCTCTCAGCTTGTCAGGTCAGATTTGATGACTGTATTCTATATTTTTACAATCTGGGTTTTTTTTTTTTTTTTTTATTGAAGAAATAAATATGTAATTAGATGTATGATTAGAACAGAAGCAACCAAATAGATTTATTTTTATGGACATTCATATACATTTATGCTTTTACATATAAGCTTTTACATATACTTGCTTTGCTAAACAGGGTTGTTAACATTTGGTTGTAACATTTCACAGCTATGGGTGAATTTGAAAATCACAATTCAGTAACACAAAGCAGTCATTTAAAATTGGGTTCCTAGAAATAAAAACTGAAACTGGCACATTAAGGAAAGCTGATACGATATAATGAATAGAATATTTTTAATAAGTCCCCAAATTTCACCCGAAGTTTATTAGATATAGGATGCTAGTTCTATATCTTAAGATTATTCAACACCCAGGGGATGTCATCATCAGTATCATTCAGCTGCATTTACTTTCCAAGAAATTTCCTGGTAGCTTTTTAAGACTGTCAGTTTGGTAGTATGGATCAGTTTTGAAAATAAACAAATCGCCCAAGCACTGATTGTCTGAAAAAAAAAATCAGGCGGCTTGGGAACCTAGGTCAGTTTTGAAAATAAACACATCGCTCAAGCACTGATTGTCTGTTTAAAATAAACGCATCGCTCAAGCACTGATTGTCTGTTTAAAATAAACACATCGCTCAAGCACTGATTGTCTGTTTAAAATAAACACATCGCTCAAGCACTGATTGTCTGTTTAAAATAAACACATCGCTCAAGCACTGATTAAAATACACGTCTAGCATCTTATGCTTGATGCAACATGGATGCAAACAGTATCCTTTACTTTTGTCTTTTTCCTTAGCTATCACATCTCTCATTTTAGTGTATGATTTTATAAAATATGCCAGGTTATTAGATAATAATAACAAACCATACAGTTTTGCAACAAAATCAGTCATGACAATGAATGCTAACCTGCTTAAAACCATACCTGATTCAGAATTTGGTTTATGATTTCTTTTGGATTTGGTTAACCTCAGGATAAGAGTAAGTTTAGCTATGATTTTTTCTTTGTTGTTATGCTGTGTCGGTTCTGTTTGCATTGTCATTTGCACAAGCGTGTTCATGTCTTTTCATATATTTGGTTTGTTCAGTATCCGTGCATTATGGCTGAATCATGTTGCTTTGTATTGCTACAACACAATGAATTATCCATCTCTTTACTTATATGGATGCAAATTCTTTTAATAGTGGCCAGTAATTTGCTTTATTATAAAATATCAGTTGATTTTAGTTAACATGAATCTTGTTACTAATAGTTTCTCTCTTTCTATATTTATATTTCTTCCATTTCCGTATCCCACTCCCAGATGTTAATTGACTAACCACATCTTTCCATCAACTACAGGAAGATAGTACAGCTCTGTCTATAGCCATGCAGGCAGGTCACAAAGATGTGGGTGTCGTCTTGTACAAACACTTGAATTTCTCAAAAGTAACCTCCCCTGTAAGTGTACTACTTCACATTCAGCTATTGATTTATATTTTTTGCAGTTTATTATTCCTCCCTGCAATAATTTATCATTTATGTATATTACGCATAAATTTAAGATGTTAATATATCTGAAGACAGAATAATGGTTACCAAGTTCACTGTAAATATTTCCACAGATTGATTACAAAATATGATTATCAAAATTGTTTTAAAAGTTTACTCTTTAAATATATTGGACTTAACAATCTGTACTCCTGAAATCTGTTACAATATTATATAATCAATGCAGTTTTAAATAAACAGAAGTTATAGACAAGCATAAATAACCAGTATTTAAATAAAAAAAGACTACACAGGGTTTAATGAACTTAAGACCAAGTTCTGTTTTGACTTAAGAGACTGTGAGTCGAACTGGTCATAAGTCGAGTTATATTTTTTCAACTTTTTTTTTTACTTATTTAGATGGTTATAAAAAGGGTGCATAAAACACAAAAATGTAATCTATATACATATAATTATTGTTCAAAAAATACATAATGGGAATTCTATTGCATCAGTTCTCTGAACCATTTGACCCTGCCAGGGTAGTTATATTTCTCTATTTGCTATTTACATTCATTTATTTGTTGTGGTCGTAAGTTGCATATGTCATAAGTCGAGGAGAAGGTGTATATTCCATATAATATAACTGGCATGAGTTGAATGGGATTTGGGTATTTTAATTACTACTACTGCTTATAACTTACGTAAATTCATTTGTGTAAAAGTTCCGATCTGAAATTAGTTAAAATGTCCACTAAGAAGAAGCTGAATCAAAATAATGTTTTGTCTCTCTTCTCTAACTCTCTGTAACCCAACAGCTGTTTTTAAACCCATCCATCTCTAAGCATATGTTACCTAAAGTAACACGTAGCTGTGTGGGAAAGGGTTCAAATTGTAACACTGTATGATCAGTGAGTTCAAATTAAAAAAAACAATTGGTGCAGAACGGGTTAATGTGTTGACTAAGTGAGGAGCTAGGACTTAAGAAAAGCATATCTTATAAGGAGTAACCAGTAAAATGCTTAGCAAATTGTTTTAAGGAGTTATATCGTTTCTTCCTTTTCCCCAGAAGAGGAAGCATCATTTTTACATAGCTAGTTTTGTTTAGAGCAACAAATGTGATTTTCTAATAGATAATAAAAATTTTTATTTTTAAATATTCAGTGTTATGGGAATGTATAGGGAAAAAGAGAATCAGCAGTCATCTCATATTAATATTTGCAAAAGCATATACACACGTAGTAAATGCTGTATAAGATCGAACGCGGGATCGTCAAGACGTTTATAGTGAACTCTGCTGTGCGTCATGACTGTGTACTATTGCCACTTTTTTATCACGTATATGGATACTATATGTAAAGAAACAAACTTTAATCATGAAGAAGATATTACAGAAATACTTTTATGACCAAATACTCATAACAGAAAGTATGGAAAGCCTAGAGAATCACCTAAATCCAATGAGTAACAAAGTAGAGGAATATAATATGAGAATAAGCACTACAAAGACAGAGACAGAGGTGATTGGAAGACAGAAAGACAATTTTTTTAAAGGCGTCTTAAGACAAACAGAGGAATTCAAGTATTTGAAACCAGTTTTCACATCTCCTGGAAAAATGGACAGAGAAATTAGCTCGATATGTGCCAAAGCTAATCAAGTAATGAGGCAACTATCTCCTCAGTTGACACACAAGCAGATACCCCAGAATGCTAAAGTGAACCTTATCAGAACCATTTTTTGGTCAACATAACAAACATAAAATGTCTTAGAAGAGCTGCAGGACTTTAAACGCAAAACAGAAAAGAAAATCACGAAGACGAATGCTAGGAATAAAGCCAGTCTTACAGTTCATCAAGAAACAACAAATGAAGTGGTTGGGACACCTAACAAGAATGCCATGGTACTACCTCCAACAGCGAGCCACACTGAAACTTTACAATGGGTATAAAGCGACAGGAAGACCTCAGAAAATATGGAGTGATGGCATAAAGAAAAGCTTTACAAAAATTAGCATCAATCCTGATAGTGCTCTTCACAGAGCTCATCGAGCAATACATCTCCCCCCAACACTTCACTAAGGTACAAGGTGGAAGGAATTTTCAAATTACAGTCAAATGATTGAATATTTCTTGGTAATGTGAAGTTTTCAGACCTATGTTTTCAAACACAGGGAATAGTGTTAGAGAATACTTTTATTTAGTGTTCTGCATTTATGTGATGTTAAAAATTAAAAGAAGGTTGGAGATAATTGGGTTCAGCATGTGACATCTAATATAATATTCCATCTTAAGTTTATTCTGTAACAGCCATATCGTACTAACAATATAACAGTGTAAAATTATATTTTTGCATACAGAATAAAATTCTGAAGGGAGCTTCTCATGCATGTGATAATGAATATACAATTTAACTGTTTTGTATGTTTGTTATTGTTTATCTAGTTTTTGTGTTTATTATATCGGTCTTACTGGTGAAGTTGTTGTGTGGTTTGCTTCATTTCTTGAAAGTTATGAATTCAGTTTCTTACTCCTCATGGGTGCAGGTGTTTCTAGGAGTCATGGGTGTTGCCACTGCATTGATAGAGTTTAATACTTTGGGTGATACTCTCAGCAAAAGAAGTGAGATCAAGACATGTGGGGAAAACCCCCAGTGCAGTGAAATTGAATCTCAAGCTTTTAAACATATATTTTTATATGGTTAATCTGTGTACTGAATTACTGCAGAGCCGTGATAAGATAAAATATTTAAAGTGGCTGTGAATTTTGAGGGATCAGGTTCATAATACACGTTCCTTTGAAAGTGAAGTCAGTAGAAATTTTGTTTTTGAGAAAGTTGAGAATTTCAAGAACAGGGGAAAAACTGCTTCTTCTTCTTCTTCTTCTTCTTCTTCTTCTTCTTCTTCTTCTTCTTCTTCTTCTTCTTCTTCTTCTTCTTCTTCTTCTTCTTCTTCTTCTTCTTCTTCTTCTTCTTCTTCTTCTTCTTCTTCTTCTTCTTCTTCTTCTTCTTCTTCTTCTTCTTCTTCTTCTTCTTCTTCTTCTTCTTCTTCTTCTTCTTCTTCTTCTTCTTCTTCTTCTTCTTCTTCTTCTTCTTCTTCTTCTTCTTCTTCTTCTTCTTCTTCTCTTCTCTTCTTCTTCTTCTTCTTCTTCTTCTTCTTCTTCTTCTTCTTCTTCTTCTTCTTCTTCTTCTTCTTCTTCTTCTTCTTCTTCTTCTTCTTCTTCTTCTTCTTCTTCTTCTTCTTCTTCTTCTTCTTCTTCTTCTTCTTCTTCTTCTTCTTCTTCTTCTTCTTCTTCTTCTTCTTCTTCTTCTTCTTCTTCTTCTTCTTCTTCTTCTTCTTCTTCTTCTTCTTCTTCTTCTTCTTCTTCTTCTTCTTCTTCTTCTTCTTCTTCTTCTTCTTCTTCTTCTTCCCTTCCACCTTGCACCTCATCCAAGTGTCAGGGGGAGATGTAATGTTCGTTGATGAGCTCTGTCAAGAGCACCATTAAGACATGTTCATTTCTGTAAGGCTGTTCTTAATGCCATCACTCCATATTTTCCGAGGTCTTCCACTCGCTCTATACCCGTTATAACGTTTTAGTGTGGCTCGCTGTGGCAGATAGTACCAGGGCATTCTTGTTATCTGTCCAAACCACTTCATTTATTGTTCTTTTATGACCTGTAAAACTGGCTTTATTCTTAGCATTGATCTAATTTCGTGATTTTATATTCTGTCTTTCCTTGAAACTCCTGCTACTCTTCTAAGGCATTTTCATCTCTTTTGTCACAATTTTATATTCATTGGAGGATGTAAATGTCCATGTTTGGCACTGATAGCATAGTTTTGGCCAAAAATTAGTTCTGATAAGATTCATTTTAGTATTGAGAAACTGCTAACATATGATAAGCCTCTGGTTCTCTTCTCTGAGTTAGATTGTTTTGTCTTCTGTCTGTGTTATAAGGACATCGGTAGAAATCTTTATTCAGGTAAAAGCAGATGCAGAAAAAGAAGGGCAGGCTATAAAAGCAGTCTTTTGAAGCTATACATAGTTTGATGGAGAAATACCAAGACTCTAAAATGAGTGATGAAAAAATGAAAGCACAAAGTAAGCTCACCATAGACACCAGAAGAAGAAAAAAACAGTAAACATTTACTACACAGCTAAAAAAATTAAAAAAAACATTTAGATATATAATCACAACTTAGTTATTTAGTTAGTTAGTTGGGTTATCATCATTGTACACCGGACATGTCCATAGGTGCTCAGAACCTCCCCTCGGTATGAACCCTAATGTCCGATGGCTAATAGTACCAGTTCTATTTGATTAACAAGTCGTCTGGTGTGCGTCTCGTTTTTTGCTATGCCGATCTTGACTCCCAAGTCTGCCATTCTGGCGAGTGATGTGGATTCACTGCCATCAAAGTCCTCTATCCTTCCCATTTCTCTGAGGGCAGTAATAATATCAGCATGATCCATAGGCTGACCGTCGGTAGTGATAGCAGATCCAGCCAACCTACCAGCTCTTTCATTTCCATCGACGCCTGCATATATCCCGGAACAAAAATAAAGGTGACTCCACGCACAGTAGACTTCTGTAATGATTCAAGCCATTGTCTTCGCACTGAACCTGCCTGAACCCTCTGGATCATACTCATTGAATCACTGAGTATACATACGCGGGTGTATTTTTGTGTTTCGAGCCAGGTAAACGCTGGCGTCACTGCCATCACCTCCATCGTCATGCTGCTGGTAGTCATGGAGAAGGCGCCGTTGGCTTCTTTGACTGTTCTGCCCGCTGAACGTTTTGTGAATGCCCATGCACTTCTATTTTGGCGTATAACGGATCCGTCTTTATAGATAAGTCAGTGCATCTGCTTCGTCTGAATTTTCACTGATGAGAGCGTTGACCTCTGCATTAACAGCAACAGGATTCTCTTCTTTACATCGTCTGTAGAGAATCACAACTATTATGTATTGGATGTAACAGAAAAAAACTGAAGAGATTGTCAAATAGAAAAGACACGTTTTTTCATGCAGTGGAAAGATTTCATTACATGAATTGGTAGCTGGCTGACTCCTGACCAAGGCGTAAAGAGAAGTTTATCTACCAGAGGATAGGATGACTCCCAGGCAATCATTCCCAGGCAACTGTTGTCTTTTTATGTTGGCAGTAGATTCAAAGCACATCAGGAGAAAATATCAGGGAGTAGCCACCCAGGAGGGCTCACCTCCAGAGTATGGAAAGAAGGCAAAGTGGCTGAAACACACCCCAATGTTTTCTTGGTTTTGCTGCAACTCTTTGCGACTCTCCTAAAAAAACAATGCACTGTGATATTGTGCAATTTTCTTCATATTAAAAAGTGATACATTTTCTGCTACAACTTGTCTTAAAAATGTCCTCCATTTTAACCTCTCTCTCGATGGTCACCATTATCCACAGTTGATTAGTTTTCTTAAATTGTTGTCTTTAATAGTTATTTGATGGTCTTTTCACTAAAATAGGACCCAAATCTTTTTTATCTTATAATGGTTCACAATTATTGGTCATAAACATTTAGGTTGGTCTTCTCAGAACTCAGTTGTTATTCTGATGTAAATATCTTACTGATGTGTTACATTGTCATTGTTACCTTATAATATTCTGACAAATACTTCTTAACTCTTCTAATTCTGTTGTCTTATAGTGTTTATAATTACTTTTTTGAAAGTCCTAAGCACAAAAATGTATTCACCACTGTCTGTAAAGGGAGTCGCCGTGGCGTAGTGGCTAGATGCTCACATGCTGATCAGAAGGTTGTGGGTTCGCTCCCAGGTCAACCCAGCCTTGAGTGGGTACCAGATGCAGTTTCAGGAAGTAAAGGCAGGCAGCATGATGCTTACCATGTTCACCCATTTTGTGCCAATTGGTCTATAAAAATGTAGGTCTATCCCTTTGTGCCCTAAACGCATAAAGGAGTGGAAAAGGGACCTTTACTAACTGTCTGTTATACTTTGTTATTTTAGATTATAAATCTTACTGAGTAGTAGTAATGTTTATCGTTACCCGATAAGTCTCTGATAAATACTTCTTAAGTCTCTTTCTTCTTCTTCTTTTATAGTTTGCGTAATTACTATCTTTTGTAACCTGCAGCATACACAGAAATGTACACACTAGATAGGTCTTTTGAAGTATCTGTTAGGGTAGTCAGGCTGATTGAGGAGTGGCTGGCTGAATGGGTAAGAGCACAGGTTTGCTCATTTAGAAGACACAGGTTCAAATCCTTGGTAAGGTGTAGGATTTTCCTGTCAGGGAAAGAAATAAAAATCCTAACCTGCACACTCCATGATGACTGCTCTAGCCATGCTTGGGCTAGCCATGCCGCTCTAAATTGTCAGGCTCAAGGGACCCCCCTTTCCATCCGACACTGCCCTAGTTGTAAATATTATGAACAGTAAAAATGATCAGGTTGATTAGTAAAGTAATGATCATTGAGGCTGGTGGTTGTGTAGGTCATTGAATTGCAACAAACTTGTATTATGGCTTTTCAGTGTTTCCCAGCATGCCCCTGTGTTCCAGCGTCTGCTTGGAAATGTACCAAGTTTTAGTGCATGCATGAATCTGAGACCCATGTTAAGTTAGCATGTTTTATTGTTAAATGGAACCTGTCATTTTAGTTTGGATGCTGCATTTACTTTTTTTTTCTTCTAATTTTTACCACTGTTGACTTGGTAGCAGGTGCCAGGATAGTTTGTTATGTAGCACTTGCTGTGTGGCATAAATTTTGAATGTAACTAACAAGTTATACATCCTGGCATATTTATAGTTGTTACTTTATCAGCTGATTACAAAATATGTTATTATTTTATTTAAATGCTGTGATGTTATTCAGCTGAAAACAAATCAAGATAGGACAATTTCCATTTGGCAACTAAGTATTCTAAATTCCAAAATAAAGACAAAAAAAGACCTTTTATCTACCAGTGGACAAAAACAACTTTAAAATGATAAAAGTAAGAGTTACTGTTTAAAGAAATCAACCAAAAAATTATTGCTATTTACTAAAAACCACCAAGTTGTAGTTAGTAATTCAGCACCAAATAAGGAAATGATTCTTAATGGTTTCACACTTACTAGTCACCCAGATGTATCTGTTTGTACTCACCGATACCACCTACTGCATGCATTTCATATTTCTTGTATCTGTAGGCAGGCCACAAGAGGAGAAGAAGTTCTAATTCCCCGACCCTGAGGTAAAACTCTTGCAATTTCTTGTCTGTTTTGCTCATGATGATGATGACACTAACAGCAAAATGAGTAGTTAGAAAGTCAGATGTGAGATGGTTGTGTAAGACTGCTCTCATCTTGCTTGCTCTCATCTTGCTCTGCTAGTGTTGCCTACTCTTTCTTCTTTATGTTGCTCTCTGTGTGTGTGTGCGTGCGCGCACGCACGCACACACACAGTAAGTGTGCTGTTTGTTATGACAACAGTTCATTCCAAGGAGGCATTGTGTGACTTAGTTTTAGACAGTTTTAACTGCATCTTTCTTTCATATTCATTTACATAGGTAATATAGTAAGCATTTCAACTGCAGATGTACTAAACAACCTGGCATTTTTAAAAAGAAAAAATATTCCATCTTCCTTTATACTGAGCCATGTGGTGTGGTTTTGGACAGATCAGTGCATCTTATTACGTATCCACACCATTTCATGCATTATATTATTAACTAATAAAATTTATCATAGCTATAGATTCTACAGTGTTTCAAGTTGCTTTTAGTTCTCTCATTAGTTTCATTATAAATTGTTCAGTACTATGAAAATTATATGGAAAAATAGAAAGGGTATGTGGCACATGTTATACACTGTCTCAAAAGTTGGAAAAAACAGAGAATATATTTTAAGAAACAACATCCCAGCACTCTGGGCATTCTCATAAACACTCTTATCTACATCTTCAGCAGCCAGTGAGCAAAGTTCCATTGCTGATACTAAAAGAATGTATAATATACTTTTGTCCTACTTCATTGCAAACATTGGCCAGTCTGCCCAAAACATAATATTTAAAGTACACTTGGAGAAGGGTAGAACACCACCAGGTACTCATATCCCAGGTACATTTGGTGAAGGGTAGAACACCACCAGGTACTCATATCCCAGGTACACTTGGTGAAGGGTAGAACACCACCAGGTACTCATATCCCAGGTACATTTGGTGAAGGGTAGAACACCACCAGGTACTCATATCCCAGGTACACTTGGTGAAGGGTAGAACACCACCAGGTACTCATATCCCAGGTACACTTGGTGAAGGGTAGAACACCACCAGGTACTCATATCCCAGGTACACTTGGTGAAGGGTAGAACACCACCAGGTACTCATATCCCAGGTACACTTGGAGAGGTGTTGAACACCACCAGGTACTCATATCCCAGATATACTTGGAGAAAGGTAGAACACCGCCAGGTACTGATATCCCAGGTACACTTGGGGAAGGGTAGAACACCAACAGGTACTTAATCCCAGGTACACTTGGAGAAGGGTAGGACACCACCAGGTACTCATATCCCAGGTACATTTGGAGAAGGATAGAGCACCGCCAGGTACTCATATCCCAGGTACATTTGGAGAAGGATAGAACACCGCCAGGTACTCATATCCCTGTTACACTTGGAGAAGGTTAGGACACCCCCAGGTACGCTTGGAGAAGGGAGGACACCCCCAGGTACTCATATCCTAGGAAGTGCTTTGATCAACGCTGACATTTCCATCATTATATTCTATAACCCATGATTTTCTTTTTCTTTTTCCTTCTTCTTCTACTGCTACTGCTTTTCTTATTCTTATTCTTATGCACCTTGTCCCTCATGTAGCAATAGGCCCTTAACCAACTCAGTACCAAACTGTCCTATTTTTGTGCACCTTGTTCCTCATATCCTCCTAATATTATTTTATCTAATTCTCTTCTATCTGTGTTTTTAGGTTTCCCTTTATGTCTTTTGCCCTGTGGTTTTCATTGCAAAGATATTCTAGTTATATTATTAGGTTTTCTCTCTACATGACCTCTCCAACATCATCATCTTTTTTGCAACCTATTTGCTCACTTGAATTTGTTTATGCTGACCCTGAGCTCCACAACACTAATTCTGATAACCTGTTATCAAGTTATGAATTGATTTGATTCTTTCTAATTATTTAGAAAGACAAAGTGCAGTGTTATCAAATGGTATGTGACTCATATAACGGTGAACTGTCAGAGTCCTGTCCTGTCACAAACAGGGCTGCGTGCTTGCACCGTCACTGTTCAGTCTGTTACTTTCAGCCATGATGACTGATGTTTTTGTAAATGATCACACTGGAATCGACATAAATTACCGCATGAATGGAAAGCTGTTCAACCTCAGGAGGCTAAAAGCAAACAGAAAAACTAAATCAGACACCATCAGGGAGCTCCTGTTTGCTGATGATTGTGCCCTTTATGCCAACACAGAAGTGGATGTGCACCACACCATCGACAGATTCAGTGATTCCTGTACAAACTTTAGGCTCACCATCAACAAAGATAAAACTGCAGCCATGCACCAGCCAGTCCTAGGGCAAAGATACATCAAGACTAATATCACAGTGAATGGCCACAGATTAAATGTCAGGAAATTTACTTATCTAGGCAGCACCCTTCCACAGAGCGCCACAATTGATGATGAAGTATATGCAAGGATCTCTATGGCTAGCGTTGCCTTTGGCAGATTGTACAAAAAAATTTGGAACAGAAGTGGCATAACCTTGCAGACAAAGCTTAAAGTATACAGAGCAGTTGTATTAACTACACTGCTGTTTGCTTGTGAAACATGGACTGTATACTAGGGCCAGGCCAGCAAAGTAAACCACTTTCACACAGTCTGCCTTAGAAAACTAATGCAGATCAGATGGCAAGACAAAGTACCTGATACCCTAGCCCTTGAGAAAGCAGCCATGTCCAGCATCCACACTCTACTGATGCAGTATCAGATTCGTTGGGCTGGTCATGTGACATGCATGACAGATCACAGGCTCCCCAAAAAACTCTTCTATCTTGAGCTGCAAAATTGGAAACGTTCCCAACGTGGGCAGAAGAAATGCTTTAAGGACACTTTGAAGTCTTCACTCAAAGCATATGGGATGAATGACACTAATTCCAGGAGGCAGCCTCTCAAGACGGAAATGCATGGCATGCAACTCTACACAAGAGCGCGGCTACATGTGAAGCAGATTGAGAAAAGGATGGACAGAAAGGCGACTGTAGGAGATCTTCTCCCTGGCACAACGCTCATTTCCTGTCCTCACTGTCCAAGAACTTTTCGGGCCCACATCGACATCATCAGTCATCTTCGTACTCATACTTGATGAAAAAGAGTGGTCATCATCATCTTGATGGACAGCAGACACACACACACACACACTTATGACTCAATATAAGTGCATAAGTCTGGTAGTTTTTTTAGTTTTTTTTTTATCGATCACCGGCTGTGAATTCCAGTGGAAGGTCCCGGTTAATCGTCGGCTTGGACTTTTGGCTTTCACCTGGACCTGATTTTTGCGTGTACAACCGTTTTTCATTTCCCTGCCTCATGGGCAGCTGTACTCCGACTTCGAAGGAAGTCTGGTAGTATATATTGGGTCAGACATTTTAATTTCTAATAGTTTTTTTTTTTTTTTTTACTTATACACTTCAAAGAAAACTGGTAATTAAAAAGAAAACTATATTAGCGATAGATGTGGATTGAAGGTTAATAAAAATTGTCACAAATCTACACCTGTACGTGGAATCCTTGAAGATTGACCCAGAAGCCAGGTACTCAACACATAAATTACTGTCTCTAGGGATTTCTTCAAAAACTCTCTGGCTGCCGACCAGTGCCAATCAATTGATGCCAACAATACCACTGCTGATCCATTTGGAATATTTATAAAAAGCTGTATATATTTTAAGTAATGGATAAGTTATATGCAGAGAAGAGATCTGCAGATGTTTAAAAATAAACAAACATAAAAAATAATTTAACTGTCCAAATATTTTCCATATGTCAATCAGCAAATTTGTAAGTCAGTATGTTATGTTTTTTTGCATCTATCTTTTATTGTATGTATAAATCTCGTGCTGTGCCTTGTTAATTGCTGTTGTGCTGCATATGATTTTCAGGTAAATACTTACTGTCTGTTATTACTGTTATTATTATTATTAATAATTAAATAATAACATGTCAGCTGTTAACAGACTAAGTGGTTGTTAGTAAAAAATCTACAAAAATTACTTTTACTGTATTCTGTCTTTAGCCATCCACTTGTAGATTGTCACATCTTATTAGTTACACATTACTTCTATTTGGTTCTATCTATAGCATAAACAGTTGTAGATTAACCCGTCTCATTAGCTATAAATTACTTCTAGTTTGTTCTGTCTCTAACAAACCACTTGTAGATTACCCCACCTCATTGTTTGCTGCCAACCAACTTTTCACACCTTAACACAGTGGCTCTCAAACCTCCTAATGCTGTGATCCTTTAATATAGTTCCTTGTGTTGGGAACCGCTGACTTAACACATCTGGTGCTAGCCTCATAGTTTTCAAGAACATTCAGTACTTGGTGCGGTGAACATCCTGCCAGCCTCTGTCACCTCCCAGAATCTTTATTGGTACCATCTGAGGGAAGAGCACATTTTTTTTTTTAAATAATGTTCCTTAGGTCTTCTTCTTCTCTTCCACCTTGTACCTCAACATGTCATTGGGATTTGACTTGGTAACTACTGAGCTGGAGTGGGCTAGATTATTTTCACAGATGGCTCCAACTCCAGCTTAAAATAGATACTAGTTAAAGTTCTAGGAGGTTAAGGTTGGCATGATTTTGGCGTCATCACCCATCAAGTGTTGACTTCTTCTTTTCTCCTCCAACCTTTACCTCAGCGAAGTGTCAGGGGGAGATGTAATATTCCTTAAAGAGCTCTGTCAAGAGCACTTTTAAGACTGATGTTCATTTCTGTAAGGCTGTTCTTATTGCCATCACTCCATATTTTCCTAGGTTTTCCACTCGCTCTATACCCGTTGTAACGTTTTGCTGTGGCAGATGGTGCCAAGGCATTCTTGTTAGGTGTCCAAACCACTTCATTTGTTGTTCTTTGATGACCTGTAAGAATGGCTTTATTCCTAGCATTCGTCTGATTTCATGATTTTGTATTCTGTCTTTCCTTAAAACTCATGCAGCTCTTCTAAGGCATTTCTTCTGTGTTGGCACAATTCTAAGTTCATTAGAGGATGTAAGTGCCCCCATTTGGCACTGATAGCATAGTTTTGGCCAAAAAATAGTTCTGATAAGATTCACTTTAGTACTCCCCATTACTTGATCAACTTTGGTACATCTTAGCTAATTTTTCTGACAGTTGATTTCTCCATTCTTCCTGTATGAATATTAATTTGCATGGAACCCAGTCCATAGCATAGTTTTGGCCAAAAAATAGTTCTGATAAGATTCACTTTAGTACTCCCCATTACTTGATCAACTTTGGTACATCTTAGCTAATTTTTCTGACAGTTGATTTCTCCATTCTTCCTGTATGAATATTAATTTGCATGGAACCCAGTCCAGCACTTCTGCCCTGTCTCGTCGTGTGAAGTATGATGTATGTCAGGCAAGAAGTTATTCTGCTGAACTTAACAGGCTTGACAAAAGGTGAAGGAAAATAACGTACACATACCAGACAAAAAAAAGACATTTCTTCAGCTAGAGCCTTTCACATATTTATAAAGGCTCCGGCCGAAACGTCTTTTTGTCTTGTACATGTATATTGCTCCACTTTTCCCTGTTGTTAAGCTTCTTAGTCACAGTTCAGTGGATTAACTCCTTGGTTTTAGCTTGACTGCAGTCACCGTTGTTTTCCTCACTTAATAAATTGTGCAGTCTGTTATTTGTCTTATATATTTAAATTTGCAATGGGTAAACATTGCTTTAATGTTAAGAACAGTTAGTATAAGTAAGGGTCCCTTTTCCATGCCTTCAGGTGTATAGGGCATATAGGGCTAGACCTATATTTTTATAGACCAGACGGCACAAAATGGGTGATGTGGTCAGCATCACGAAAAACAATTAACTGTTCAGTGGGGTTTTTTTTTCACTTTTGAAATGAATTTGACCACTGCCTCCGTATTTATTGCGATTCCTTTTTGTTTGAATCCCTCAGCAACTTTGCTATTCGATGAGGCGGAAGCTGCCATCGGAGTCCACACTATGACGGCAACAACCCACCAAGGCTGATTCATCGTTCTGTGACGTCTTGAATATATATTGTTAACATTGTGCCTTTTATTTAGAGATCAGTACATTACTCAACACTTTGTCATTATTTAGAGTACCTAGAGTTACTAGCTTAGGTTTTTGTCCAGTTAAAGATGTCATTGTTATAGGCTGCCTAATGTTACTAGCCAAGATTATTGAGTAATTAAAGTTGTCATTATATTAAATGAATACCAAAGAAGTTAATTACCATGACAAAACTATGTATGGAAGACACTTATAATATAGTCACATATATAGGCAGAAAGTCAAACCCTTTTCAAATAACATCTGGTTTAAAGCAAGGTGATTCTCTGTCCCCACTTCTTTTCATCTTGGCCCTGGAGAAAAAAATTATAAGGAAATAAAGAGTGTACTTTAGAAGAAACTACAGTAATACTTGGTTATGAAGATGACATTGATATCGTTGGAGAAAATGAACTAGAGACTGTAAAAACACTGACTCTCTTAAAAGAAGCAGCTCACAAAATTGGACTAGTTATCAATCAAGATAAGACAAAATACATGATAATAACAAGACAGGGAAAGGAAATAAACTCTGGCCACATACAAGTCGATAATATGAAAATCAAACGAACGGAAACATATAAGTATTTTGATGCAAACTTCAACTTCTTCAACATGCTGAGAGAAGGAATACAATCTAGAAGACAATCTGGAAATTAAGCCTTCAACATTTGCTAAAGTCTAAGTCTCTATCTCTCAACAACAAGATAAAAATATATAACATGTTGATAACAATGAAATTCATAATCTGTTTAAATCACCATTGATCACTGGCGTCATGAGACCTAATAGACTGAAATGACAGATTTAAAAACTATACACTAGTTAGTTGAATGGTCATAGACCAAGAGGCAGACCAAGAAGACAATGAGGAGATAACGTCCAGACAGACCTGCAAACACTTGGTTTCACCAACTGGAAAGAGAAAGCCAGCCAGAGAGATAAGTGAAGGTGGGTGATATCTGCAGCAATGAAATTGATGGGCTCGGAATGCTGAAGAAGAAGAATTGTAATAGGTAACCTAACCTTGCTTTACTAGCCAAGATTATTGAGTAATTACAGATTTAATTATTATAAGCTACCTGGTGTTTCTAGCCAAGAATATTGAGTAATTACAGATTTAATGATTACTAGCCAAGATTATTGAGTAATTACAGATTTAATTATGTAATTATAAATGTTCATGTTTATTTTTAACTCCCTTTATAAATATTAAAAACTGTAGGTATATAAAAAGAATATTTTAATTTATTAGTAACCTGTGGTTTTTTTTTAAGGAATTTTTTTTGGGGGAGGTGGGGTGGGGGGGGTTTCATGTGGTCATGGCCCTTTTTTTTGTGTCACCATGGCAGCAGGGTTAAGGATCTTTCCACCAGGCCATGAGGAGAGCAGTGTTCTGCAAAGAACCTGCAACATCATGAAGATATTTATGATGCTGATGAAAAGATAAAGACATGGTGGCCTGTATGGGATCCAGACAAAGCCAGAAAACTGTGAAGTTTAAACATTGATGAGGCCTGTAACCTTCTGTAATCCTACGTGAATACTCTTCTTCTGTTTTTACCCTCATAAGGGTGGCTGGCGCGTTGTGTTTGGTTTACAGTTAGGTGTACTTTTTAGTCGAGAACATTTGATTTCAAATAACCCTTAATTAGTTGTATTTTATGCAGTGCTTGTTAAGGGATAGTGAGTCTACACCCCACCCCCATTTGTCCCCCCACCCTACCCAACAATGGGGCTCTGAACCCACATGGAGGAAGGAGAAATATTACTATACATATATAGTATCTGCTTCTTGATTTCATCAAAAACTGTAGAGGAATGTTATGAATCTGAAGGTGTGAACCAAGAAGAAGAAGGAACAGTGGTGCAGTTCTGTAATGTGTTTGTCTGATAGCAAATGTTGCTTGTTGTTGAATTTGAGGAAGACTTGTGATTTTATCCAATTTTTGTTCATGCTTAATTTATTGTTCAGACACTGTAAGATTTAGTATACATTTATCGACAATATATAATTCCTTGTATGGTAATATCAGCTCTTGTGTTTTAAAATGCATGTGAATGTTTTTTAGACAGTCACCAGGCCCCTGAAGTGTTTTAAAACACATTTATGCTTAATCCAGGGTTGATGGCAACTCTTATGAAGACTAGTTACATTGTAAAGATATAGAATTCCTAGTAACATTTTTTTTTCAGTTTAAAAAAAAAATGTACAGCTAGCTCATAGTTGCTGGGAAGTTCATTGTGACACAACCCAAACTGGCCTGAGTTTGATGCATTGTTAGTCCATGTAGCTAACATTGTAGCTACACACTGAGGTGCTCTAATTCAGCATGTTTGTTCTCATCCAACATTATCAATTCTGCCTTCACAAATCATCACTAGCATGTTTTTAGTTTGTCTCAGATATTATTTGTTATGCACACTTATTCTACCTCTGTTAATATTTTAGACCACTTTTACTTCATTTCAGTGTTAATTATAAGGTACTGATTTTATTTATAGTGGGCAGATTTGACACTGGTTCTGTTTTTATATTTTTATTTCACACACATTTGCTTTATTAGTATTATAAACTGTATAACTGGCATCATTAATTTCACTGAAGCTGAGTCAGTGTTGGATGTTTTGTGTGTTTAGTTGCTCTTCCATTCTTTGTGACCTGTGAACCTGTTCTTTTGTTGGAATCAGTAATTCTGCCATGAAGCTGCAGTAACAAAGTGGCTAGACATTTATTTACCTGCAAACAAAAAGACTTAGGTTTCAATCGGCATCGATGTGGATTGTTTTATATTTCATCATGGCTGCCTGCTTGACCTGGGTTTAAATGTGAACCAAAAAATATACTGAAAGTAAAGTAGACCACATCGTCTATTGATTGCCAGTTGGTCTATAGAAAAGAGAGTCTAGCTTTATGTGCACCACTGAAATTCTACCATTGTCTCTCTTTCTAATTCCAGTCTTTGCTTTTGGTCATAGTTTACTTCTCATTTGCCACATTTGTGGACTAAAAGAACAGAGTTCCATCACCAAGCTACTGGGTGGAGTGCATGTGACAGTGGAGTGACGCTGTCAAATATGATATGCTTTTGGACTGTGCCCAAGGTCATTTGTGTTGAAAATTGCAGATTCAGAAATGTGTGGCCTGTTGCTTCAGAACTGATTGTGCCTTATGAAATATTGCATGTGCAACTGCTGATTTGTTGTTGTAACTGCTACTTCCATTGACGAGAAACTATTCTAGTGGAATGTTTGTGTTGACACTTCTGGCGGTTGCCTTGTGCATTTAATGTGTGTGAGCTGTTCGCTTGACTGAGCCTGCAGTCTTTTTTAGTTTATTTTAAACAAAGGGCTTTCTGTGTGGTTTTTATTGATATAAGAAACCAAGCAGTTTTGGTGTGACCCATTTGCTATGAAGTTGTACATGCAAGTTACTAATTAACTAACTCCTAAACCTGACTGATATGTGTGCATATTTGTGTGGAGATTGACATGTTCCTCGGTGTTATCCAGAATATTGGCTTCCATAGTTTACAATGCCACTAGAGATTAAAACAATTCAGATAATTCTGTACTCATATAAAAAAAATACAGAATGCCTGCAGAACCACCTAAATCAAATTAGTAACAAAGGGGAGGAATATGATATGAAAATAAACACTACGAAGACAGAGACAATGGTGATAGGAAGACATAAAGAGAAATTGGAAATATAATTAAAAAACAACATCTTAAGACAAAAAGAGGAAATTAAGTATTTGGGAGCAATTTTCACATCTGACGGAAAGCTGGACAAGGAAAATAGCTCGGGATGTGCCAAAGCTAATCAAGTAATGAGGCAGCTGTCTTCCCTGTTGACACACAAACAGATACCTGGGAGTACTAAAGTGAATCTTATCATAACTATTTTTTGGCTGACACTATGCTAACAGTGCCAAATATGGACACTTACATCGTCTAATGAACTTAAACTTGTGACAGCAGAGATGAAATGCCTTAGAAGAGCTGCAGGAGTTTCAAGAAGATCTGACCGTCTGGCAAGGTCCTTAATGACGATGATCCATGTGATGTTATTGTTTTTTTTTTTTAATTACTGGAATATTTAAAACATTCATTTTTAATCATGTACTCAACGTCCATATGTTTCTAATCACACATATTTATTAAGTCTAATTCTATAATAATGTGTAAACATTCTTAATTAAAATTGTGTTCATGCATTCTTTAAGCTTTAGTTTTGCCTTATTATATTTTGTTTATCTACTTAATTTTATTGTTGCGAGTCGGACTCGTAATTCCAACATACCGTGATCAAAGCCCACTGCTGGCTGGGTGGAGTTTTATCGTGGTATGGGGCGTCGCAGGTCGACCCAGCCTCAAATGGGTACCAGAATGTGTGTCCTGAGGAAGTAAAGACGGCCTGCATAATACTGACCACATTACCCACCTAGTGCCGACTGGTCTGTAAAAATATGCCCGATGCACCTATGGCGTGAAAAGGGAGCTTTACTTTTTACTTTACTTTCTTTTCTTAATTTTATGGGCACGAGCTCCTAATATTTTTTTATGGTGTGTTTCTTTTGTTAAAATTGACTAGCTTTAAAAGTTTATAAACGAATAAGTGTTTATATTAAACTTTTGTTCAAGTTTTTCATTCCACCCCAAAACATAAATTTTACAAACTGGCAGTTTCCATGAACATGCAAATAAGAAATTCTTACTTCCTACACACATTTGGATTGCATGTAGTCGATTCTAAGCAATGTTGTTTTAATCTTTTGTTTGTTGATAAACTTTGGTTGAAATGTTCACTTATGTTGCCTTTCTTGTGTTGATTTTCCCATGCGGGCAGGCTTATTTTCAGTACCATGAGTTATTCAAGGAATGGGTAAATTATTTA